TCAGAAATGGAAGAAGGGACAATCACTACCTGTTCCCATGGACATTAAAGGGATAATAAAGGAATAGTATGTGTAATTCTACATACAGATTTGACAACCTAGATGAAATGGACTAAACTTTCCAGTTATTTGGCACATTGTGCCTTCCTGAAAGACACACTGTGCCAAAGCTCACACAAGAAGAAAGACAATCCTATGTCATTAAGGAAGTTGAATCAATCATTAATAACCTTCTAAAACACAAAGTCACAGGCTCGGATGGATTCACTGGTAAATTCTACCAAATATTTAAGGAAGAAATTATATCAATTCTCAAGCAGATAAGGACATTACAAGGAAAGAAATCTACAAACCAATATCTTTTATGAACAAGGATGCAAAACTCTCAACAAAATATTAGCAAATCAAATCCAAAATCTATAAAAAGGATTACATACCACAATCAAGTAGGATTTATCCCAGTATTCAAGGCTGGTTCAACATTTGAAAATCAATTAATGTAATCCATCACATCAAAAGGCTAAAGAATCACATGATCATGTCAACAAATGCAGACGAAGCCTTTAATAAAAGCCAATGTCCAATTATAATAAAAACTCACAAAGTAGAACAGAGAGGAATTTCTTCAGTAAAGAAGATTTACAAAAAAACTTCCAACTTATGATGTACATCATACTTAATGATAAGAAAACTAGAAGCTTTCCTACCGAGATCAGAAACAAGGAAGGCAAGGATGTCTGTTCTTACCACTCCTTTTCAATATAGTACAGAAGTCATAGCTAATGCAATAAGGCAAGAAAAGCAAATAAAAAGGTATACAGATTAGGAAGGAAGAAATAAAACTGTCTTTGTTCACAGATGACTCAATCACCTATGTAGAAAATCTGAAACTGACAAAAAAATACCCCTCCTAGAACTAACATGATATGGCAAAGTTCTAGGATACAAGATTAATATACAAAAGCCAATCATTTTCCCATACATTAATGGTGAATAAGTGAAATCTGAAACTAACAATGCAATACCATTTACATTAGTACCCAAAATAAAATAGGTATAGATTTAATAATTTATGTACAAGATCTATACCAAAAAATTGCAAAACTTTCATAAAAGAACTCAAAGAATAACTAAATAAATTGAAAGATATTCCATGTTCATGAGTAGAAGATTCAATATTGTGAAGACATCAGCTCTTCTAAACTTAATCTATAGATTCAACACAATCCCAATCAAAATTCCAGCCAGTTATTTTGTGGGTATCATGAAACTAATTCTAAAGTTTATATAGAGAGGCAGAAGACCCAAAATAGCCAACTCAATACTAAGAAAGAACAAAGTTGGACAACTAAAACTACCTTACTTCAAGACTTACTATAAAGCTATAGTAATTAAAACATTCAAGCAATGGTGAAAGAATAGACAAATAGATCGATGGCACAAGATAGAGGGCCCAGAAATAGACCCAGGTAAATGCAGCCAACTGATCTTTGACAAAGGAGGAAAGGCAATACAATGGAGCAAAGAGTCAATGTTGAAAAGAGTCTTTTCAACAAATGGTGCTGGAACAACAACTGAACAACCACATGCAAAAAAAAATGAATCCAGACACATACCTTACACCCTTCACAAAAATTAACTCAAAATGAATCATAAACCTAGACAGCACAGAAGAAAACCTAGGTGACCTTGGATATGGTGATGCTTTTTTGGACACAACAAAAAAGCACAATCCATGGAAGAAATAATTGATAAACAGGTGGCAAGTAAGCATGTGAAAAAATGATCCATAACATATGTCAGTAGGGAAATGCAAATAAAAAAAAACAATAGGTACCACTACACACCTATGAGAAAGGCCAAAATCTGGAACACTGAATACCATATCATGTTGAGAACACCAAGCAACAGGAACAATAGTACACAGCTGCTGAGAATGCAAAACGGCACAGCTACTCTGGAAGACAGTTTGGCAGCTTCTTACATAACTAAACATAATCTCACCATATGTTCTAGCAATCATGTCTTTTGGCATTTACCTAAATAAATGGAAACTTAGGTCAATGCAAAAACCTGCACACAGATATTTATAGCAGCTTTATTTATAATTGCCAAAATTTGGAAGAAACCAAGATGTCTTTCAGGAGGTAAAGGGATAAATAAACTGTGGTGCACCCAGACTGGAATGTTACTTAGTGCTGAAAGGAAAAGAGCTAACAAGCCATGAAGAGACCTGGAAAAAACTTAAATTCATATTAGTAAGTAAAAGGAGCCAATCTTAAAGTCTACATATTGTATGATTCCAGATACATAACATTCTGGGAAAGACCATTGTCTTTTTATTGCCTCCATAGAGGTAACAAAAAGATGAGTGGTTGTCAGGGGTTGGAGGCAGGAAAGGATGGAGGACAGAACACAGAGGATATTTAGGGAAGTAAAACTACTCTTTCTGTATGACACTACACAGTAGATACGTGTGATTATATATTTGTCCAAACTCGGTATATATTTAACATCAAGAATGAACCCTCATGTTCTCTGAGTGATAATGATGTATCAGTGTACATTTACTGACTATGAGAAATGCACCACTCTGATGTGGGATGTTGATAAGGGGGGAGGCTATGCATGTGTAGGCACAGGGGGTATATGGAAAAATTTATGTACTTTCTGCTCAATTTTACTGTGAACCTAAAACCACTATAGAAAATAAAGTTTATTAATTAGAGACTTCCAGCCAAGATGGAGGCGTAGGTAGATATACTTTGCCTCCTTGCACAACCAAAAGAAGGACAACAACAAACTTAAAAACAAAAAATAACAAGAACGGCCAGAAAATCAAGCTGTATGGAAGTCTGACAACCATGGAGTTAAAGAAGAAACATTTATTCAGACTGGTAGGAGAGACAGAAATGGGCAGCCAGGGGGAGAGGCTATATGTCAAGGTATGGCTGGAGGACCTGGAGAGCAAGACCAAACCTGGAGGACCTGGAAGGCAAGGAGGAGGCTGGTGAATTGGGAGGTCCCACATTTGTATGCAGATAAACCAGGAGGAACAACTGGGGAACAAGAAGACCACACAACCCAGGGTTCCAGGGTGGGGAAAGAAAACCTCAAAACCTCTTGACTGTAAAAACCTGTGGGGGTTGCAGCAGTGGGAGAAACTCCCAGTCTCACAGGAGAGTTCATTGGAGACACTCACAGGGTCCTGGAATGTACACAAACCCACCCACTTGGGAAGCAGTGCCAAAAGAGCCCAATTTGCTTGTAGCAGGGGAAGTGACTGAAAGTCAGCCAAGAGCCAAGCAAGAGGCATTGTTCCCTCTCAGACCCTGCCCCCATATAAAGTGACACAATGCAGCCACACAAGTTGCCCCACCCTGGTGAATACTTAAGGCTCCACCTCTTACAATGTAAGAGGCATGCTGAAATAAAAAAATATGATCCAAATGAATGAACAAATCAAAGCTCCAAAAACAGAACTAAGCTGAAGAGATAGCCAATCTATCAGATGCAGAGTTCAAAACACTGGTAATTAGGTAATCTGGATGCTCACAGAAATGATTTATGGTCACAAAATAGAGGAAAAAGTGAAGACTATGCAGAGTAACATAAAGAAAAGTACACAGGGAACCAATAGTGACGGGAAGGAAACCTGGACTCAAATCAACAATTTGGACTAGAAGGAAGAAATAAACATTCAACTGGAACAGAATGAAGAAACAAGAATTCAGAAAAATGAGGAGAAGATTAGCAACCTCCAGGACAACTCTAAACATTCCAACTTCTGAATCATAGGGGTGCCAGAAGGGTGCCAGAAGGAGAAGAAGAAGAACAAGAAATGGAAAACTGATTTGAAAAAATAATGGAGGAGAACTTTCCTAATCTGGCAAAGGAAATAGACTTCCAGGAAGCCCAGAGACTCCCAAAGAAGTTGGACTCAAGGAAGCACACATCAAGGCACATCATAATTACATTAGCCAAGATTAAAGAGAAGGGAAGAATCTTAAAAGCAGCAAGAGAAAAAAGAGACAGTTACCTACAAAGGAGTTCCCATAAGACTCTCAGCTGATTTCTCAGAAGAAACTTTACAGGCAAGAAGGGGCTAGAAGGAAGTATTTGAAGTCATGAAAGGCAAGGACCTAACCCAAGATTACTCTTCCCAGCAAAGCTATCATTTAGAATGGAAGGGCAGATAAAGTACTTCCCAGATAAGGTCAAGGTAAAGGAGTTCATCATCAACAAGCCCTTATTGTGGGAAATAAGAGACTTATCTAAGGAAAGAAGATCAAAGCTATGAACAGTAAAATGACAACAAACTCACAACTATCAACAACTGACCCTAAAAAAAAAAAAAACAACAACTAAGCAAACAACTAGAACAGGAACAGAATCATAGAAATGGAGATCACATGGAGGGTTATTCGTGGGGAGTGGGGGAGAATGGGGGAAAAGGTACAGGGAATAAGAAGCATAATAGGTAGTTACAAAACAGACGGGGTGGTTAAGAATAGTATAGGAAATGGAGGAGCCAAAGAACTTACATGTATGACCCATGGACATGAACTAAGTGGGTGGTGGGGTGGAGGGAAAGCTGGTGGGAGGAGAGGTGCAGGGTGGAGGGGAATAAAAAGGAGCAAAAAAATGGGACAACTGTAATAGCATAATCAATAAAATATATTTTTTTAAAAATCAATAAATTTTAAGAGAAAAACAGTTTATTGATTTAAAAATCAATATAGTAATTTTACTTTAAAATAGGATAGAAAATATTGAACAGCATTTTACATATTCTTTAGTAAAAGCTTTTTTTCAAGCATATATGAATGTAAATACAAGTGTGTGTGTATATACAGGGTCTTAATATAAAATAGATTTTTTTCTGTGGATCTTGTCAAAAAGGTTTAAAAGCCACTGATGTAAAAGCTGTATGTTTCTTTTGTTTCTGAATCATAAATAAATTATTGTTTCTCCTCTTTTACAACGAAATCTTCACATACCTGCTCCGACATAATTTACAGCCTTAGCAGCTCTGACTGCAGCTTCTCCAAGCTTTTTTCTTACTTCAGGTTTAATACCAGGCTATGGGAAAATATTTAAATAAATTTCCATTAGTACCTTGCTCTACTAGAAATTTCCATTAAGATCCAATATTACATCTATTACATAGTATTACTATACTATTACTATTACATTTACTAATTAGTATTACATTACTAATACTATTGCTATTACTATTACATAGTAATACTATGTGTATCAGATATTGCATTAAAGAGATAATAACAAAGATAAAAAGCTAACTTTTAGTGTGCCAGTTTAACTGTCACATTACCGAAGTTTAATGGCTCTGCTAGTAATTCCTATAAACTGCAGATATTCTGCAGCATACTGACGTATCTTTGCCCTTTGTACATACATAACAACACTTTTATAACTATATGTCTACCTAAAATATGAAAACTTTGAACAATCCCAATTTTAAGACAATAAAGCAATCTGGTTCACGTGCCCAATAATTATCTTGGAGCATGGTAAACCTTGAGATTTTAAGTTAATTAAGAAAGGTTTAAAAAAAGAAATCTACGTCAAAAAATAGGCAAAACTTTTAAAATTTTGAAAATTGTGCTCTACAGATATATACTTAAGTAGGCACTATTTGAAAATAAGGCTTTACTGAAATTATTGCTGACATTTACTTCAAATAGTATAATAGACTCTGCAACAGAAATGAAAATTTTAATATGAGAATAACAAACTGATGAACCAGAAACTGCAGATTCCTGACCTGATAGAACTATATGCTGATAAAAGCATGTATGATATCCCTGACCAGTACGGTTCAGTTGCTTGGTTGTTGTCCTGTAGAGCTAAAGGTCACTGGTCCGATTCCTGGTCAGGGCACATGCCTGGGTTGCAGACTTGGTCCCTGGTAGGGGCACATATGAGGGGCAACCAATTGATGTTTCTCTTTCACACTGATGTTTCTTTCCCTCTCTTTCTCCCTTCCTCTCTCTTTAAACGCAAATAAATAAAATCTAAAAAAAAACATGTATGGTAGTCCCCCCTTATTCATGGGGGATATGTTTCAAGATCTCCAGTGGACACCTAAAACTGGAGATAGAACCACAGCTGATCTATGGTTTTTTCCTGTACAAACATACCTTTTCACTTAAAGGAAGCATTTATAGCTTCTCTTTGGCATATTCAAATTTCTAACATCACTATTCTTATACTTTGGAGCCATTGTTAAGTCAGGGTTACTTAACACAAGTAATGTGACAGCTGATCTGGTAACTAAGACAACTACTGAGCAACTAATACGCAGGTAGCCTACCCTGCGTGGATACGCTGGACAAAGGGAAGATTTGCACCCCAGGGGGGATGGCGTAAGATTTCATCACACTACTCACAACAGTGTATAACTTAAAACTTACAAATTTTCTGGAATTTTATTTTATTTTTGGAATTTTTTGATTTAATATTTTTGAACCACAATTGACCAAGGTGAGGGGGGGTTACTACTGTATATAACCTTGAACAAGAAAAGAATCCTATGGCAGTAGCAGGTTCCAAAGAAATGTAAATCCAAAAGTAAGTAACCTAGGAATAGGCCTTGATGTAGATAACAACTTAAGCCAGTCAAGAAGTAGGCTGGAAGAGACGGAAACAATTCTGAAGGGACAAAATTTGTCAAGTAAGAGCAAATCTCTGTCTTCCACAATATAACCGGAAGATGACCAATATGTTTTAGCAACATCTTAGACGGCAGTTAAAATAAGTCTGCTTCATGGAAAATACATTTAATTAACCAGACTATACCATTCCTTAAACATTCTGCTTAGATACAATTTAAAACCTGGATGGAAACACTATACAGCTGCTCACTTGAGGTCGGAGAACAGTTTCCTAGAAACTATTGAGATGGAACATGGCCCTGTGGGGACCTTACCCCGCTACTGCTGGGAAGTGGTTGTCCAGTAGGACTGTGGGAAGCTTACAAACTTCTTTACAAGGTCCTTACCCCTGGGGCTTCCTCAATGATCTTCTGATGCCTCCTCTGTACACTACAGTCCCTTTCAAACAAGTACACAGCATTGCCATGGTGATCACCAAACACCTGGACTTCCACGTGCCTGTTTAAAAGCAAACACACATTAATATACTTTGTTAAGGATGACAAATATCACATTCAATAAGCCAGACTATTGGCCAAGGTGACTAGGATTCTTCTATTTTTTTTTTTTTAATAAATGAGATGGGACATTTCGACCTCAAAATAAAGGATATGGATTTAGAAACAGAACTATGGTAAATCTTATTAACATCCAATGAAAATCTTTCCATTTATTAGATAAACATTGAAGAAAAAAATATGAAATAACTGACAAATAAGAAAAGAACAGAAAACACAGGAGAGTATATATTTATGACCTCAGAGTAGGGCCAGGTACAAATACAAACTGTTAAGGGAAATATTCATAAATCTGACTATTTAAAAATTACAATTATAGTCTTATTTACTAGATCCTCAAAAAGCCAATGGAAACTCTTTTGTGATCAGATTTTTAAAAAACAACTCTTAATAGTCAGATTTTATAAACTGTGGCAAATTGAAAATTAAAATGGCTCATTCATAAAATGTTAAGAAATAAATTAATATGGCTCATTAGTTTTTAGGACTGTACTCACATTAAATCATAAAAAAACAAAAAAGGGACTTTAATATTGAGTATAAAATAGCAAAATTATGAGAAATCATGTTAAAAGTAAATACACATACCACTTATGAAAACAAGGCTAACAGATCATCTGGTGAACACAAAAAGTGTTCTTCTCAGTAGGCCTACTTTGAACAGTCACACTGTAGTGTACCTCACACACTCACCATCTTAACATAGAAACGAGTGATCACAAATGATTTCCCTGTCAATTTTTTTAAAACAAAAATTGTCACACATATGAGAAAATTTTAAAACCCAGGAAGTCTTATAAATGTACTTTTCAGTACAGTGGTCCAGAGCTGATCCTTTTCATTCACCCCATGAAGCACTTACTTAAATCAGTTGGATTTATTTTTTTGATATATCATTTCTACTGGACACTCCACTTGAAAAAGTTCCCACCTGTCCAACACAACAGGAGCTGATTTTTTCCTTTTGGATTTGCTTCCTTAACCTTTTCTTCTCTTTTTATTTCTCCTTAAGTTATCATCACCAAATACATTCTTGTTATTGTTATTTTAAATAAACTGTTAACTGTGACATCAAATAATGGATTTTATTTTAGTTTCATTTATCCCTTCTCTAATGGTCTTTCTTTCTTCATTAGATCTGAATTTCTAAACTGTATCATTTTCCTTCTCTCTGAAGAACTTACGCTGTCATTTCTCACAGAGCAAGTCTACTGGGTCACAAATTCCCTCAACTTTTGTTTGTCTGAGGACATCTTTATTTTTCCTTCATGTCTGAAAGGTAATTTCAATGCATATGGAATTCTGTATAGTTTGATTCTTTTTCTTTCAACACTTTACATAGTTCACTCCTCTTGATTCTTGCTTGCATGGTTTCTGTGAGTAGTCTGATGTAGGAAGGTGTTTCCCCCTCTCTGGCTTCATCCAAGATTTCTATTCGTCTCCGTTTTCCTGAAGTTTGAATATAATTCTAAAATTTGATTGATGTCCTGGTCCCTACTTCAGTGTCTGTCATTAATTTGGGGAACATTTTGGCCATTATTACTTGAAATAGTTCTCCCAGTCTTTTCTTTCTTCTTGTATTCAAATAAGCACATATTAAACTTTTCATATTGTCCCACAGTTCTTGATTAGTTAGTTATATTGTATTTGCTTTCATTCTTATAGCTCTTTGTTTTTGTTTGGGAAGTTTCCATTGACATATGGTCAAAATCACCGATTCTTTCTTCAGCTGTGTCCAGTTTACTGGTGAGTCCATTAAATACATTCTTTTTTTTTTTTAAGGAAAGTGAGGAAGACTTTATTTTTTATCCTCACCCAAGGACATGCTTAGGGAGGGATAGGGGAAGAGATGTGAGAGAGAAACATCCATTGGTTGGGTCTCATACTCATCCTGTCTGGGGACCAAGCCCATAACCGAGGCATGTGCCCTGACCAGGAATCGAACCCATGACTTGTTGGTTTATGGAATGATGCTCCAACCAACCAAGCCATATAGGCCAGGGCTAATGCTTTCTTCATTACTGTTAAAATGTTTTTGATTTCTAGCATTTTCTTGTTTTCCCTTAAGATTTCCAACTCTCTGCTTACATTACCCATCTGTTCTTGCATGTTTTTGACTTGCTCCATTATGGCTCTTAACATATTAACCAGTTACTTTAAATTCCATAGATAATCCTCAAATTTGTGTCATATCTCAGTCTAGTTCTGATGCTTGCTTTGTCACTTCAAACTGTGCTTTTTCTTGCCTTTTAGTATGACTTGTAATTTTTTTTAAAGCCAGATGTGATGTATCCTATACCAGTGTGGAAAGCAGGATCAATAAAATGGCAACAGTCTGTCCATGACAGAATAAAGTATATAAAACAAAATGGCATCACTCATGTCAACCAAGACAGCTGCCAGTCAGCCATGACACTTTGGTTCAAGAAAGAAACTACCTACACTAGGCACCCTGCCAAATGTCTACCAGAGCAACACACAGATTTGTCTGCAGAGAGAGCACACCTACTCATAGAGCTCTGGGGCCCCTTGGCCCCAGGCCATGGAATTTACCAGCTCAATCAGGTGCCAAGAATTTGGGTATAATGGAGGTGGACTTCAGAGTCACCACCGAGACAGCTCATCTCCTACACAAGAATGCTGCCCTCTGCTACTCTGAAGGCATCTGCCGCCAGAGGCCCTGCCCTAACAAGCACCCAATGAGGACACTAAAGACTCTGCCTTGTAAGACGCTGACACTTGCCTCTGTCTCCGGGATTCAAATGCAGCTAAGGCTCTTGGACTCAGGTTCATTAATGGGCTTTGTCCCCTGTCGATTTGCTGTGTGTTTAGTAATGTTAAGTTAGGACTGATTTAATGTTAAGTTAGGATTGATTTTTGTGTAAAACCTGCAATAATAAACAAAGGATATCACAGTCATCTGTGTTGGCTCATGGTTATTTCTTGGTGCCAGGTAAGGAAGATTCCAGATCACTGGTCTGAGAAGGCCAGGCATTCTGGGCCATTCACCTGTGCCCTACAGCTCAAGCAGGACATCTGGGGGACTGACTTTCAGGAAACAGTGAATCACGACCACCCTTCAAGGGTCCACTCAGTTCCTGATTAGGCAATCATGAACTGAGATAAATAGGCCTCTAATGTTTTACAATGTATTAATCTGGCTTGGAGATAACGTTGAGTTTAATGCATGCAGCAGCTGCAGATGCCAGAGACTTCACTTTCCCCTAGCGTCCTTATTTTATTTTTGTTTTCTCCTGTTGTCTATGGGCTTCCCCAAGAACTGCTTCCTAGCAGAGTCTGTGTCTGGCAGCTCTTTCAGAGGTAATCCACTGTTATTATACGGGAGCCCTGGTGACTTCGTAAGGTGCAGGGGAGGGAAAGTGTTCTATAATCTTATGATTAAATCTCAGTGTTTTAGTGGGCCTGACACTGCTTCAAAAGCCTTTAACTTTATTTTCACCCTTAGGTAAATCAGGCAGGTTAGAAGTTAGATTTGGCTAACTGCCCTTCTTCCAGAACAGAGAAGGTTCTGGCCAACTTTCTCATGGAGTGCTGGCCTTCATTATTGAGAATAAACTGCTCTGGGCCTATTTCGAAAGCTTACTCCCCTAACTCCAAAATTTTAGGAAATTTTGCTTAGATTTTCACTGTGAGAACCTGGTAGGGTTCCTGGCAATAAAACTAAAATTTGGGGGGGCCCTCCTAACACTGGAGTCCAAGGAGTTTCTCACTATCAAGCTAGTCCACAAGGAGCCTCCATTAATTTGTCAAAATTCCCACTTAAGTGTTCCTACCTGTTTACGGGTCCGGCAGCTTTTGCTCCTGGTTACTGGTGTTGGCGGTGACTGCCTGTACGCACATACCTGACCAGATTTCAGGGTGGTGGCTTGCCCTGTGGCCTCGATTCTCTTCTGTGTCTAAAAGTCATGGACTTTCATTCTGTTCAGCTTTTTACCTGCTCTTCAGATGTGACATCTTCTAAGCTCTACATGCTGGTGCTGAACAGTTTGTTTTTCAAATTCCGATTATAAATTCTACCACTTCTACTGACTCTCTCTTATCTTTTAGCTGCTCCAGAGAAGAAGACACTATAGCAGTGACTCCGGGTTCTGAAAGGAACATGCAGGGGCCGCATCAAGAGCAGAACATAGCTCTTACTCCAAGATCTCAAAAGTCTGAAACATTTTTCCCTTTGGCTACTTACAAAGAAAGATCATTGAGGATGTGTGTTTTCTGTTTTGATTCTGTAGTTATCCAACCACTTGTGTTATTTTCCTTTTGCTGACTAATCTTTTCTGTTACTTGACTAATGTAGAGTTTCCGGAGCACAGTGCCTGTGAACCAAGAGGTGTAGAAAATTCTAGCCACTCCAAATAGCCATGCTGGGGTCTGGCTAGTTCAGTGGATACAGCTGGATTCTACTGGGAATGGCTTTAAGTTTTCTAAAAGTTCTAATGTTTTTATTTTCCTATTTACATTTTAAATTCATCTAGAATATATATTGAATATGGAGTGGAGACAAAATCTGGTTTCTTTTATTACCCTCCAAACAGTACACTTTGAAGGCTGTTTTCAACCCTAGCCTTTCAGACAAATGCAATAGCTGATCAGATCTGCAAAACACCTTGATATCTACTTTTCCCAGTTATTGGCATCTTGACAATTTTCTGGCACTCCATTAATTCAGCAGGTAACTATTTAGCAGGATATAACATAGTATACACAGAATGATTATTGTGATATTAAAGTATTACTACTAGAAAATATGGCACAGAAATATATAGAAATGCTAATACTTATAGAATGAGATTATAAGTGACTTTGTTTTCCAACTCCTGTATTTTCCAAAAGTTTGTAATGTATTCAAATTACTTCAATATTTCAAAACATATTGCTGATGCCTATCATGAAGAAAGTAGTATGCCAGGTAATAATATATAGGGAAAAGTAAAAAATATATACTGGCAGATCCTTGATTCTCAGGAGCTTCCCAGTTATTGGGAGAATGAATTAGAATCTGAGGTAATATATAGTTAACATTTCACAAGGGAAGATTTGCAGCTTCAGAAATGTTGCAAGCATAGAGTTACAGTCATCAAAACAGCTAGCTGATGTCTCCACAACAATTCTAACCCAAGAGTATGCTAATTTGGACAGTCAGCCGATTCTTTCTGAAAGACGTGGAAGGGAGCCCTGATTTATCTTCAAACCTCCTGTCTTTTCCCTACTTTCCACCAATAAGTGGCATATGTTGTACTCTCCTAATTAATTGGCCTGTTTTGAGGCTGACTTTTTTTTTAAACAAACCAACTCTAAATGAATTTCATTTACTAAGCCATACTCAGGGACAGTTCTAAGCTTTGTGAAGACTGAAACAAAAAGTTTGGGGTCCCTCTTTAAAAAGAATACAAAATTAGATACAGGAATTTGTTAGGGATTCATGCAAGTGAAGGGCCTGAAGCTTGGGTTCATGACAGTCAAGGTAAACCCCTCTCTGGCCGTGGCCCCTAAACGAATTGGTCTTTGTGAAGTCACTTGACACACAGGACATCTGTACCTACATGTCTATAACTACGTGAGTTACCAAACGTCTATAAAACATGACACTTTTGTAATCAGTACCTCATTTTAAGCAATAGACTTGAAAATACAATTCCAGAAAATAAAAGAAAATAGAAATTTGCATGGCATTTGTTATCGTGGTACCTGGAGAAGCAGTTTAGTGCAGTGGCTTAGAATGTGACTTTTGGAGTCAAACTGCCAAGTTTTTGAGTTGAAATCCAAGCTTCACTACTTTTTAGCTGGGAGACCTCAAGCAAGTTATGTGACTACTCTGTTGCTCAGTATCCTCACCTGCAAAATGGGAATATACCCATCTAAGGGGTTCTTGCAAGAATTAGATTAGAATTAGGACAGCAAGATTAGTTAGTATATGTAAAATACATAGAAACGGACACATGGTAAGTGCAATATAAGTGTGAGCTGTTAGTATTGTTAACTATATCACAATTACACTTTAATTTTGGTAACTATTTCCATTTTCTGAGCATCTCAACTGATGCTCATGGAGTTCTATAAAATACAGGTTAATTTCTTACAAATTTTTTTTATTTTAAAAAGACCCTAACTTCCATCTAAAACTAATGAATTGACTGAACTAATGGTGTATCAATATCATGGAACCATTAAGCTCAATAAAAAGAATGAGAAAAATCTATATTTCATGACATAGAAAGATGCCTGATACAATATTAGCATATAACATCATATAAGAGTCTATTCACTATTCTTCTGTATGTATGTTGTCTTCCATTTGTATATGTATAAGTGTTTCTATTTACATAGAAAATGCCCAGAAGTATGCATGCCATACCTTAAAAGTGGATACATCAGGGTGTAGGATTGGGGAACTAATGTATTTATATTCTACTAGACCTTTGTATTTTATATAACATGCATGCATTTCTTTCATAATTTAAAAAATCTGAGTCAGAAATAAAAGCTAAACCCACCTGGGCATGTCCACAAACTTCTCAATCAGCATAGCATCATCATTGAAGGACTTCTTAGCTTCCCTCCGTGCTGATTCCAACTGCTCTTGAAATTCTTTTTCAGATCTAGCAATCCTCATACCCTACGATGCAAAGACAGTTATGACCACAACACAAGTGGAACAAAGAGGCCTGGCCCAAAATAGAAATCAAGGCTCGCACAGCCTTACTTTCCCTCCTCCCCCGCGGACAGCTTTGATCATCACGGGGTAACCGATTCTCCCGGCGTGCTCTCTCAGGCACTGGTCTGTTTGGTCCTCGCCGTGATAGCCTTCCACAACGGGTACTCCGGCCGCAGACATTATGGATTTGGATGTACTTCAGGATTAAAAAAACAAAAAACAAAAAACAGATGCCCAAATTCTATGAAATATTTCATGTAAGAGAAAGAAATACAGCCCAATCTATGAAATAGAATGGAACTTTTAAAGGAAGCATCCCATAAAGAACTACAGTCTGAGACAACAAATATTAATATAAATATTAAAATATCTGTTAATTTTCCTCAATCTAGTTGTTTATCCCCCCAAATTAGCATATATTGATTACAAATATTAATTAGTTGAATATTTTCTGTGATTCACTGGAGTGACAGATAGATAACTTATGCCTACAACAACAAAAGGATATTATCACCATGTGTACTGTAGGTAAAACCAATCATTTTATTTATTTATTTATTTTAAATTTTACCCACCTATCTTTAGAGAGGGAAGAGAGGGAGATAGAGAGAGAGAAATATCAATGTGTGGTTGTTGGGGGTCATGGTCTGCAACCCAGGTATGTACCCTGACTGGGAATCGAACCTGCGACACTTTGGTTCGCAGCCCGCGCTCAATCCACTGAGCTACGCCAGCCAGGGCTAAAACCAACCTTTTAATTCACCTTGCTATTTAAAAGACATAAGCTCATACCTCTTAATACCCATGTCTCTAATTGCAGATGAAGGAGGACCTATAAAAATAATTCCTTCTTGCTTACATAGCTCGGCAAATTCCATGTTTTCTGAAAGAAAACCATATCCTGGATGGATAGCCTAGAATTGAGGAATGAAAAGACAAATTTACTGGTGCTCCACCTGCACACTATGGTGCAGTGGCTGCCACTCTCCCCTGGGGAGCCTTCTCCCTCTGCTGGTGATGGGTACCCTACGGTCTCGATCAAAACCTGTTTCCAAACAGGTGTATGAACTCAAGTTCTGGAGCCTTACCTGAACCAGAAGAAATCTGTATTTCTTTTTATTGTGGTAACGTATACATAACATGAATGCCCACTGTAACCACTGTTAAGTGTATAATTTGGTGGCAGTAAGTGCATTCGCAGTGCTGTGCAGCTGCCGCTACCAACCACATCCAGAACGTTTGCATCACCCCAGACAGAAACCTGTGCCCACTAAACATTAATTCCCCATTCACTGGTAACTTTCTGTCCTATAAATATTACTTCCTGTTTCTATGAATTTGTTTACTCTAGGAACCTGATATAAGGAGAACTGGGCAATACTTTTCTCCTTTGTGTCTGCACATATTAGCATATTTCCAAGGTTCATCCATGGAGTAGCATGTACCAGAATATCATTCCTTTTCTAAAGCTGAATAATATTCCTCTGTATCTATATATTCCACATTTTGTTTACCATCACCTATTGGCGGATGTGGATTATCTCCACCTTTTGGTCTTTATGAATAATGCTGCTGTGAACATGGATGTACATATATCTCTTTGAGTACCTGCTTTAAATTCTTTTAAGTATGTATCTACAAGTGAAATGGGTGGATCAGACAGCACAGAAGAATCTGTATTTTAATTTGAAATAATACTGCTATTAGGGGAGAGTGTTAAGGAATATGTGTAAGTAGGAGTAAAGGTAACAGGGATTTCTCAACTCTGCCTGGCTGTAAAGCTGGCCTAGAACTGAAACTGTGGCACTTAAAAGCAAAGAGGAACACAACTAGCACAATAACACCTCATCTATCTTCAGGACACTCTATGCACATGTCACCCTTCTAAGCAAACAAACAAACAAAAAACTAGGCAGCAAACAGAAAGTCATATGTTAAAGTCTGTATATACTTTAGTGAAAGAGAGCTTCCTGAGACTTTTGCCTAGTTATTTGGAAGTTGCTCAGTTCTAACAAATTTATTATCTGGCTTTCTGGCTCACAGAAAAGGAAAATCAGTGACAAAGGACAGAATGTTTTCTCAGGGCAAGCATATTGCCAGGAAAAAGGGAAGAAACAGGAAAGCAAACAGCAGCTTTGGTTATTTAGTGAGGGAGAAAGCAACTCACCAACTTCCATAGTCTTCATGGCATTTTTGTTCTTCTACAATAATAATTATGTTATGTACCATAATTATAACCAAGTGAATGTAAAGAAAAAAGCTCTGCCAACCCTACTGCAAAATAGTTACATTCAAAGAACATTTCAAAATTAAAGGGGTAAGCTTCTGGTGCCTGGGGAATTCAAATGAATAGAAAAACCCACATTTTACTGAGAGCAAACAACAAAATTCTAAATACTGACTAAAATGCTGAAAGTCACATTTTGATGTCAGTTGGAATTTTGTTTCTTTTAAATCAATGTTCAATTTTAGACATTTTCTATGAAATGGTCAAATGTTATTTATGCTAGACACAGTGGAAAAGGTCTACACTCAGTTCTCCCTGTTTTTTTAACAGCTTTTTTTGAAGTACAATTTACAATATATGGTGTCATGGATTCAGTAAATTTATATAACTGTGCAACTATTACTACAACCCATTATTATAACAGGACAATTCCACCACTCAAAAAAGTTCCTGGGTTCCTATGTGTCAAGCAACTTCCAGAACCAAGCAACTACTGACCTGCTCTCCCTATGGTTTTGCCTTTTTTAGAAATGTTATAGAAATGGTATCATACAGTACACATAGTCTTATGTGTCTGACTTCTTTAACTCAGTGTAATTTTCTGAGGCTCATCCATGTTGTTGCATGCTTCAGCAGGCCATTCCTTTTATAGAACTGACCCCATTACGGATATACCACACTTAGTTTATGTGTTCATCTGGGGGTTTTTTTCCAGTTCAGGGCCACGATGAACATTCATACAAGTCTATTTTTCATTTCTGTTGGGGAAATGCTCAGGAGGGCAACTGTTGGGTCAAAATACGATAAATACATGTTTAACTTTTTAAAAACCAGCCAAACAGGTTTCTAAAGTAATTGTGCCATTTTGCATTTCTACCAGCAATGCACAAGACTCCCAGTTTCTCTACAGCCCGGCTGACAGTAGTATCATCATCAGTCTTTTCGATTCCAGGCGTTCTAGTGGGTACACAGAGCTACTGCCTGTTGGGGATTTGATATAGAGTGAATTGAATCTATAAATCAATTTGGAAAAAAACTGCCATCTTAACAACACTGGGTCTGCCAATGACATAGCTGTCCATTTATTTAGGACTCCTTTAATTTCATTCGGCAGTGTTTCACTTTTTAATACATTGGTCTTGAGCTGGTTTTGCTAATTTTGTTACTAAATATTTGATTTTGCTTAATACTATAATGAATGTAACTGCTTAATTTTATTTTCAATGTGTTGTCAGCTTTCCTTCCTTTGAACAGATATTTAATTTGATAAACTATATAAACACTCTCCCTTCAAACTAAAAAGAAAAGCACAGCTATCTAGTTGCCAATGTAAAGTTCAACCACACATTCTGGGGATGACCCCAAGAAGTTTAATTTCTCTTAAGAAGAATAATTTAATATATCCAAACCATAGTACCCTTGAGCATTTTAATGGATTAAAAAGGAAAAACCCATACTACTACTGCCACCATGGGGCAATTTCCCTACCTTTCAGGCATATATTTAGCTGCCAATTCACCCTGGTGGGTCGCAAAATTGCAAGCCTATTTACATTGTTTTATTCCATAATGCTAATACGTTTTAACAGGAAAGATAGAAAACTGGGAATGGCTAAAAATACAAATGAGCTCTATAAATAATTTTGTGAAAATTGTGCAACACTTATTACTTTTGTATTGTAAACATCGCCATCACTCTTACCTGCGCAGCAGAGATCTTGGCCACCTGAATGATCTTCTCCATAGAGAGGTAGCTCTGCTGAGAGGGAGCAGGACCGATGAAATATGCTTCATCTGCCTGGTTAAGAAACATCACATGTTGTAAAAAAAAACCCCACAGACCTACTACTCTAAACAGAACTGCTTCAGAGACATACTGTTATAAACGAAAGTGCTGGCTTCCCCAAAACCATAGAAAAGTACCAGTTCACATCTATGCTATAAAAGTAAGCCACTTCGAAATCTTTTGCATGAAGAGGATGCCAAAACTTGCTTTTATGTATATGTCGCACACCAGAGTAAAATGAAAGTGGCTTAGGATAGAAAGCAACGATTCGCCATAATTTGAAATAGAAAAGTGGCTAGAAACCTGCATGGGCCTGCTGTGCAATGCTGGAAGTTCAGGTGAAGCTCAGCACTGTGGACTTGTCAGTGCTTGGAGATTTGCTGTGGATATGAAGAAGGACAGCAGTTGAATTCACCCATGTCTGGATTTTGTCTGGTGAATAACAACTAGTTATAATTGATAACACAAATCTCAGGGGAGTAGGGTCCTTTTAGTTATAATTTTCCAGTTGAGTCAAGTCTCTGAGACATTGGGTAACTTGTCTAGGACCCCTGGGCCAACAGGCAGAATTTGCTAAGACCAGAAACTTGATCCTTCTTCCTGTACACCAGGGATATGGATTTGTGCCACACAAGTGTGGCCCGTGCATCGGCCACACTCTATGAGCTGCTTTAACTAGTCCTCACTGATGGGACCTTGCCTGTAAATCAACTGTATCACAAAGTGCACTGTTCAACTTGCGTTATAATGGGCAAATGTTCCCAAGAAGAGATACTGAGCAGTTGAACTTAACCTACTAAAACACTGTTAACACTAGCAAATATAAATTATCTAGCTAAAGAATCAAAATGCTGACACACTAAACAAATACAATCACTTACAAAATTTGATTTCCAGTTGTTAACATACCATGTCTACGTGCATGGAATTCCTGTCAGCCTCACTATAAACAGCCACGGATTGCACGCCCATTCTTTTAGTGGTCCGCATCACCCTGCAGGCAATTTCTCCTCTATTGGCAATGAGGACCTTGGTAATGTTTCCTCCTGAACCGCCATAAAAACCACAGAAGGAATGTTACTGGGGAGCAAGGAATGAGTATGCAAAATAAATATTCTGTGATATTAACAAACAGATAAGCATTTCTGTTGGTAAAATCAGCATAACAGAGCCTAAAATAACCATTTTAACTAATATTGGAGTGTATATTTTTTCACTGAAATTCAAGATATCTGTATTAACATAAACTCTTAAATTACTCAGATTTTTCAACTTAAAATAAACACATGCTTTGTTATACCAAAGACCAAAATAAACAAAAAACCCCATTATAGTTAATAGTAATCTTTTTAAAATTTTATTTTTCAATTAGAGTTGACATTAAATATTGCTTTATATTAGTTTCGGGTGAACGGCATAGTGGTTAGGTGACTATATAATTTACGAAGTAATCCGCTGACAATTCAAGTCCCCACCTGGCACATACTTAGCTATTACGATATCACTGACTATACTCCCTGTGCTGCACTTTATCCCTGTGACTGTCTGTAACTACCCATTTGTACCTCTCAATCCCTTTACCTTTTTTACTAAGCCCTCCAACCCCTTCCCATTGGGCAACCACAAATTTGTTTTCTGCCCCATGAGTCTGTTTCTGTTTTATTTATTTATTTATTTTGTTCTTTTAAGATTCTTCATTTAAGTGAATTTGTCTGTCAGACTTATTTTATTTATTACACCTCTACAGTCCATTCATGTTGTTGCAAATGGTAAAATTTCATTTTTTTTATGGCTGAGGAATACTCCACTGCATCAATGTACCACTTCTTTATCTACTTGCCTGCTGATGGATGCCTGGGTTGCTTCCATATCTTGGTGACTGTAAGTAATGCTGCGATGAACATAAAGGTGGATGTATCTTTGTGAATATTTTGTATTTCCTCAGAAGTGAAACTGATGTCATAACTTAGTTCTACTTTTAACTGTTTGAGGAACGTCCATACCATTTTCCATAGTGGCCACAGCCATTTGCATTCCCACCAATGTTGCACAAGGGGGTTCCCATTTCTCTACGTCCTCACCCAAACTTGTTGTTTGTGGATTTACCGATGATAGGCATTCTGATGGGTGTGAGGTAATGTCTCCTTGTGCCTTTCATTTGCATTTATCTGATGGTTCATGACATTGAGCATCTCTTCATGTGTTTAACAGCCATCTGTATCTCCTCTGTAGGGAAGTGTTTGTTCAGGTCTTCTACCCACTTTTTAGATGGATTGTTTATTTTTCTGGTGTTGAGTTATATGAGTTCTTTATAATTTGGGTATTAACCACTTATTGGACATATTATTCATGAACATCTTCTCCCATTCAATAGAATATCTTCTCCATTTTTGTTGATGGTTTCCTTCGCTGTGCAAAAACTTTTTAGTTTGATATAGTCCATTTGTTCATTTTTTCTTTTGTTTCCCTGGCCCAAGGAGCTAGACCAGAAAGAATATTGCTAAGAGAAATGTCAGAGTTTACTGCCTATGTTTTCTTCTAGGAGTTCTGTGGTTTCAAGTCTTACATTTAATCTTTAATCCATTTCAAATTTATTCTTGTATATGATGTGGGGTGATCTAGTTTAATTTTTTTGCATGTATCTGTCCAATTTTCCCAACACTATTTATTGAATAGACTCTCTTTACCCCATTGCATGTTCTTGACTCTTTTGTCATAATCGACCATACAGGCATGGGATTATTTTGGGGCTCTCTGATCTGTTCCATTGATTTATCTATCTGTTTTTATGCTGGTATCATGCTGTTTGGATTATGATAGCCTTTCACTATAGTTTAATACCAGGATGCATGATTCCTCCAACTTTGTTCTTCTTTCTCAAGGTTGCTGTGGCTTATTGGGGTCTTTTGGGGCTCCATATAAACTTTTGGATTATTTATTCTAGTTTGTGAAATATGCCATTGGTATTTTGATAGAGATTGCATTGAATCTATTGACTGCTTTGGGAAGTATGGACATTTTAACAATGTTAATTCTTCCAATCCATGAGCAGGGTATATGCTTCCATTTATTTCTACCTTCTTCAATTTCTTATAATTTTGCAAGTAAATGCATTTTACCTCTTTGGTTAAATTTATTTCTAGGTATTCTTTTAAATGCAATTGTAAATGGGACTGTTTTCTTCTCTTTCTGATAATTCATTATTGATGTATAAAAATGCAACTGATTTCTGAATATATTGTAGCCTTCTAATTTATTGAATTCATTAATGAGTTTCAATAGTTTATGTGGTGGAATCTTTAGGGTTCTCTATATATAGTCTCATGTTATCTGCAAATAATGAGTTTTACTTCTTCCTTTTCAGTTTGGATGTGTTTATTTCTTCTTGTCTGATTGCTGTGGCTAGGACCTCCAGTACTATGTTGAATAAGAGTGGTGAAAGCAGACATCCCTATTTTCTTTCAGATTTGAGAAATGCTTTTAGTTTTTCCCCATTAAGTATGACGTTAGCTGTTGGTTTGTCATATGTGGCCTTTATGTTGAGGTATGTTCCCTCTATCCCCACTTTTGAAGGTTATCAAAAATGGGTGCTGGATTTTATCAAATGTTTTTCTGCATCTGTTGAGGTGATCATATGATTTTTATCCTTCATTTTGCTTATGTGATGTATCACATTAATTGGTTTGTGGAAGATGAACCAACCTTGCATCCTGAGAATAAATTTCACTTGATCATTGTGTATGATCATTTTTTAAATATACTACTGAATTTGGTTTGCTTTATTTTTGGGAGGATTTTTGCATTTATGTTCATCAGAGATGTTGGCCTATAGTCTTTTTGTAATGTCTTTGTGTTGTTTTGGAATCAGGATAATGCTGGCCATATAAAATGAGAATAGGAACTTTTCCTCCTTTTGAATTTTTTGGATTAATTTGAGGATAGGTGTTAAACCTTTTTGAATATTCAGTAAAACTCAGCTGTGAAACCACCTAGTCCAGGACTTTTGTTTGTTGAGAGGTTTTTTTTTCTTTTTTTTTTTAATGATTTGATTTTGCTGGTAGTAATCACCTGTTCATATATTCTTCTTGATTCAATCTTGATTGTATGTTTTTAGAAACTTATCCATTCCTTCCACATTGTCCAATTTGTTGGCATATAATTACTCACAGTATTTTATTATAATCCCTTGTACTTCTGTATGTCAGTTGTCACTTCTCTTTCATTTCTCATTTTATTTATTTGGGTTCTCTTTTTTTCTTGATGAGTCTGGTTAAAAGTTTGTCAACCTTGTTTCTCTTCTCAAAGAGACAGCTCTTGGTTTCATTAATCTTTTGTATTTTTTATTTACTCTATTTTGTTTACTTCCATTCTGACCTTTATTATTTCCTTCCTACTCACTTTGGGCTTTGTTTGTTATTATTTTTCTATTTTCTTTAGGTGTAAGGTTGGATTGTTTATTTGAAATTTTTCTTGTTTGTTAGGATAGGCCATTATTGCTATGAATTTGCTCTTAGGACTGCTTTCACTATGTCCCATAGGTTTTCTGTTGTTTTGTTTTTATTTTCATTTATCTCAAGTTATATTTTGATTTCTTTCATTTCATTATTAACTCATTGTTATTTAATACATGTTATTTAGCCTCCATGTGTTTGTGTTTTTCAGTATTTTTTCTTGTAATTGATTTTTAGTTTCATACCTATGGTCAGAGAAGATGCATGATATGATTTTAATCTTCATAAATATGTTGACACTTGTTTTGTGGCCTAACATGTGGCCTATCCTGGAAAATGTTCCAAGTACATTTGAAAAGAATGTGTCCTACTGTTTTGGGATGAAATGCTCTAAAAATTACGCTCCCTGGGTGGCTTGCTTGGTTGGAACATCATCCTATGCACCAGAATGCTGCAGGTTTGACTCCTGGTCAGGACACATACCTAGCTTGTGGATTTGATCCCCAGCTGGGGCACGTATAGGAGGCAACCAATATTTCTTTTACACGGATGTCTCTGTCTGACTCTCTCTCTCCCCCTTCCTCTCTCTCTAAAATAAACATGTCCCTGGGTGAGGATTAAAAAATAACTTAGTAAAATAAAAATATCAATTAAATCCATCAGGTTTAATGTGCCATTTAAAGCTGTGGTTTCCTTGTTGATTTTCTATATGGAAGATCTATCCATTGATTTCAATGGGGTGCTAAAGTCTCCTTCTATGACTGTCTTACTGTTGATCTCTCCCTTTATGTCCATAAAGATTTGCTTTATATATTTAGGTTGCTCCTGTACTGGGTGTATAAATGTTTACAAGGGTTATATCCTCTTGTTGAATTAATGCCACTATTTTTGTGAAATGTCCTTCTTTGTCTATTACAGCCTTTGTTTTAAAGTTCTATTTTGTTTGATAGAAGTATTGTTATCTCAGCTTTTTTTTCATTTTCATTTGCATGGAATATCTTTTTCTAACATTTTACTTTGTTTGTGTGTGTTTTTCAATCCAAAAGGGATCTCTTTCAGACAACATATACACAGGTCATTTTTTTATCCATTCAGCTACCCTATGTCTTTTGATTGGAGCGCTTAATCCATTTACATTTAAAGTGATTGTTGATAGGTACATAGTTATTGGCATTTTATTATTCATATTAATGTTGCTCTTTCCTTTTTTCCCCCTCTTAAAGAAACCTCTTTAACATTTCCTGTAATACTGGTTTGTTGGTGATGGACTCCTTTAGCTTTTTCTCCTCTGGGAAATTTTTATCTCCCCTTCAGTTTTAAATGACAGCCTTGTAGGGTGCAGTGGTTTTGATTGTAGGTCCTTGCTTTTCATCACTTTGAATATTTCACACCAATCCTTACTGGCCTGAAATGTTTCTATTGAGAAGTCAGCTGAGAGTCTTATGGACACCCCTTTGTAGGTAACTGTCTTGTTTTGCTTCTTTTAAGATTCTCTCCATCTCTGACCTTTGCCATTTTTATTACAACATGTCTTGGTGTGGGCCTCTTTGGAGTCATCTTGTACAGGACTCTGTATTTCCTGGACTTATGTGTGCTCTTCTCTCACCAGGTTAGGGAGGTCTTCAGTCATTATTTCTTCACACAGGTTCTCAATCCCTTGCTCTCTCTTTTCATTTTGGCACCCCTATTATGCAGATGTTCTTACATTTGATATTACCACAGAGATCCCTTAAACTATTTTCATTTAAAATTTTTTTTGCTTTCTGCTGCTCTGATTGGGTGTTTTCTGCTACCTTGTCTTCTTAATCACTGACTGGACCCTCTGCTTCATCTAATCTGCTATTGATTCCTTCTAGTGTATTCTTCATTTGCTATTGTAATAATAATTAAACTTTAAATAAGTACTTTCTATGCTCTAGGTCCTGTAGTAAAAAGGCACAATCTGGTCTTAAACCCTCACAATCATCATATGAAAAAGATACTATTATTATAATCTTAATTTTTAAAATGAGGAAATTAAGATTGAAAGAGATAGCACTTTCCTGAAATTATATAGCTAAAGAAACGATGGGTTCAAGATTTGAACCCAGATTAGCTTCACTCCAGAATCTGAGCTTTCGGACACTCTGCCCCACTACCTCTATCACTCTGAGCCCAGGGATGTGTGGTCCTCCTGCCACATAAATGAGTATTGCACCAGTTCGCTGTTGTAAGTGCTGTAATGGTATGATATTGATATAGGAAATTCACTTCCATCATTACACATGAAATAAATGTACTTTGGCAGTTCACAATAGTGATTTTCAAAAAATAAGGCTTTGTATAGTTTAAAAAAATGTTTTTCAACAAGGATCTATAGAGTCCAAGAGAAGTATTAGGTGTATTTAGTGGGGTGGGGGAGGGTGTTTCACCAATGAATCAGAAGTTATATTTAAATATGTTTTATAATTGGGAATTCCATGTAAAGTTTTATTTCAAGAAAAAGGTCCTGCTATTTAAAATGCATATTATAAAGCATTGATTTAGATAGTTATGTTTTTCCCATTCAATACACTATGAGAGTCAGGCAAAAATAACATAAATACAAAGTGTTCTCCATATTTCTCTACATATTTTAGACTCAACAGCAAGAAAGTTGACATAAAACAGGTAAAAACCATGACTCAATACTTACTAACAAAATTATAATGAAAATCCAGAACTTTAAAAGCATCTGAGAACCATTTCTATTATGTGCAAATTAAGGGATTAAACATTTGTTTCTTAGTTTACAATCTGAAGCAAAGCAAAGTAGTACAATAAAAACTTTTAATACCTGTAGTTGTATACTTCATGGCTCTTTGCTTCCAAGGCCATCTCCTATAAAATGAGCCCAAATGGAGTTATAATTAAACAGGATATGCAAGATCAGTCAATATTCTTTCAAAATAATCTAAATATTTAAAAACTTGAACTCAAGTCTAGATATGACCTTAGTTAAACCGTAAGTCTACAAAGTGACTTAGTAAGACATTCTTCGTGGAAAGAAAACTAATCCACAAATCAGGAGTTACAGTTCTGGCTGTCCTCCATGGCAGTGCGTGTCCTTGAATGAAGCATTTAACCTGCTTGCTCCTGAGACTGGCACATATGAGCACAGAGTCAAAGAGGACTGCCTGGAAAGCCAAGGTACTGCAAGATCATCTAGTGCAGCTTTTTTCAAACTTTTTCTTTTTTGGCTAGAATCCAAAGTAAAAACTGTATTTGACTTCACAGCCAAGTATACACACATACAAAACAGACCTTTCATAAAAGGAGACTTTCCCTGAATTTTGTTTCCATTCTATTTGGTTCTATTCTATTTTATTAAGTAAAATACACTGGTCAAACTACAGTTTGAAGAAGACCTGTCTAATGCAACCCTCTGACAAGACAGGTTTGACTATTTAGGCCCAAAGAAGTAAAAAGGAGGAGCTAAACAAGGGAAGCGGGAAGAAAGCTGGCTATGGGACTTGCTGAGGGAGCCACCCACTGACCAGCTGCTGGTGATCCCTGGCATGTTGCTTTGCGTCAGCATTTCTTGATCTTTTGTTTTCATTATCACTCCCTAGAAAATTTAAGTACTAAGGAATAAGATTTTTATAGTAGGCAGGGTTGAGCTTTGAAGGGCCAGAAATTATGGCACTATCAATTAAAAAAACACCACAGGCCTGAAATGGCTTCACTTGTGCTAAAGTTCACAATACCAAACATAGACTTAATACCTGCTCTAACTGGTGCTTCATCCTCTCCCAGAAACACAGTCTTAATCAATCTGGAATTTTCTGGTCAGCATCAGTTCCATCCCCTCCTCCAATAGAAAGAAGAAGCAATCTACATGATATAAACCCTTGCTGTTTCCTTCCCCCCCCCAAATAAGATGTCTGGGTCTAAGAATAATCCCTTTTCTTCATCCCGTGTCCCACCCTTCTTCCTACTAAAACAAACAAACAAAAATCTTCTATTTTATACAACCCCTAGAAACACCCTGGTAGTTGCTAGGTGGAATTTTGTTTTTTAAGACACTTAAGATTTTTTTCACTCTCTCAAGAACCAAATGTTTTTAAAACAACTTATTGGGGTTCAGGGCAGGCAGCCTCGAGGTATCATACAATGGCATATTGATTATTTTGAATTAAAAGTAACTTGAGAAGCAGCAGGCATCGGAGGAACTCTCTGACTCCCTTCTGTCTCTCTAAATGCAGGAAATAAATCTCTTCATGATAGCTGCCTTACTGTTACAGGGTGCAGCCAAGAGAGGGGACCCCAAATGGGCATTTAAAATGGGGTCCAGAACTCAAGGTGTCCAGATTTTAAGATGTCTCCATCCCCCCACCCAGGGTGTGGGTTGGGGGAAGGGACAAATGGAGCAAGGCCATTGAGAGCTGTTTTTGCATAGCAACAGCCTTGCAGCTACCCTCTGGTGTGGTCATTTAACATATCTATAGCCTTTGGCTGGTCGCTTAGATATGTTAAATAGCTGTGATCATCTCTGAGCCAGGGGAATGGAAGTAACTTCCCCACCAAGATGTGACTGGGGGGCAGATCCCCCGAGCTACAGCGCCTGCGTGGGAGCTCGGAGAAGATTGGCTCCAGGACATGGGGCCACACCTGCCCAGACTCATGATGGCAGCCCAGTAAAGCTGGAAGGATATGAATTCTGGCAAGTGAAGCCGAGTGTGGGGAGGAGTCGGAAATGAGGCTGCAGAGGAAGATTGGCCGCGGGGATTTAAAACCCAGATTTGGTGGCCATTAGAGAAGAGAGAACCATGTGGCTTTAGCAGAATGGGGAGGACCTCGGCCATTGAGAGGAGAACCGTGGTGCCTTGAGAAGGAGAGCCATGCGCAGCCCTGAGAGAGAGAGAACCACTGGGCTTTGACAGAGTGGAGACTCCCGCAGCCCTAGGAGAGAGAACCACGAGGCCTGGACAGAGTGGGGACCCCCGCAGCTTTAAGGGGGAACCACCACCTGGTTTTGGCAGAGATCCCAGCGACTCAGCGGAGGGTGCCGGGTACCCAAGGAGGTCTCCCAGTCGAGATGGAGGACTAACTAAGAACCAGAGGACTGCTTGATCCATGGACTTCTATTTCCTTCCCTGAGATACGGTACTCTGGACTGGGCAAAGGGGGAAGGAAGGAAGGACTGTGTCTGTTTGTGGGTGTTTTAAGGGACTTTGGGATTTTGATAAAGACATTAGGTCACTACTTTAAGTTTGAATAGCATTAAATAAACATTTCCTTTCCTTTTCACGAATCTCTGGCATTGAGAGACGTCTTTCCTCTGGCGGCGGACATAACGCACCTGGGGCCTTCTTTCAATAATAGTATATTGTCTCAGGCCCCCCGTTGTCTGTTCTGTAACATTACCTGGAGCAGAAGTCTGCCACCCCAAAATATATCTCTTTGGCAATATTGATCACTTTAGGCTGGCTAATTTTAAGAAACAGCAAACAAGGGAAAAGCTCTGAAAACCTAGTGGAAGTTACCCTTTATAAGAGGACATTTACATTTGTAAGAGAACTCTCCACTTGTAAGGTTGTTTCCCTCACTGTTTGGGGAAGAAGATATCTAAATCTCTACAAGCCCTTATCTGTGGAGGTGTGCGAAACAATCTCACCTTTGTTTACTGTATTTAATCCCGCAACTGACTCCCATCCCCACCATCTTTAGTCTGGAGTGAAGGTGGTATTTAAAGTGAGGGCTTCCCCCATTTTGGTAAGTTTCTTAGTTTTCCTGCGTTTCTCCAATGTACAGGAGGTACACATCTTATTAAACTAAAATGTGTTTTTCTCCTGCTAATGGGTCTCCTGTCAATTTATTACTTGAGCCAGCAGAACCTTGCAGGGTAGAGGGAAATTTTCCCTCCTCATGACAGGGCAATCGATACACTTACTGCCGCACGGGGCACTCTCATCCCGTGTCGCCCTCTGGGAAGGACTGATGGAAAATCCACGGCTTTACCACCGGACTTCCCCAAGACGACCTCCCCAAGAGGCTACTGCTTTCCCATGTCTTTGCAATTCAGCTGATCTCACTTTCTTGGTCTTCAGGGAAGGGGAATCAACTTTCCTGATCTTTACAAGGTATTTTCTAGTTCATAGCATCTTCCCATCACATTCTTCAGGTAGATTTCTGATAAGATTCAAGACCCATCCTGGGTAGATGTGTCTATAAAATGGCTGCATTTTGTTAAATCCAGCTTAAGATTCTTAAGTTTCAAAGCCATTGCTAACCTAAAGTTTTGTTCTTCCATTTCCCAGTGAACACAGACAAACAACTGAACACACACATCACTTAACTATAATCCTCTATCCCAACAATGTTTTGATTGATTGATTCCATTTTTCACCATTACCTAAGTTACAACTGAATGGCTTAAAAACCAAGATTAAGTTACTTCCATGAGATAATTCCACCCTATCAAAATAACTTTTATTCTCACTTTTAAAATTCTATCACTAGATTTCTTTTCTAAGAGTTACTAGAGAATCATAATATAAAAAGAAATGTAAATGCTGTCTACACTGATAAGGTCTTTAATTCTATATGCCATCACAACTCTAATACTTTCCAGGTGACAGCTACTTGAGATAATTCTATATAAAACAGCTAAGGTTTAAGAGGGAGAGGGAAGAGAGAAAATGTGTCTGTATAGTATCATGAAAAGCCCTGGAAGCTTAAGAAAATAAAACTCAGGAGAAAGAGAAGAACACTAACACTGCTTTTACTGTCTTATTTCGCTCTGGGGTGAGTCCTACAATTAAATAACTGAAAATCCAAGGCATCTACAGTAGCTTGTGGAAAACTAAAGCAAACAAGAAACTTGATCAAAGTGCTTGAGTCTGCAAAGGCTATATCTACTGATGATTCATATGCACCAGATTCCGTTTAAGCCTCTTTCCACGTATTCATTTAATTTGCACAATCCAAGGTACTAGTATTATCTACTATAGGTACTAGTATTATTACCTCCTCCAAGGTCAGAAAATTGAAGCACAGAGATACTAAGTAACTTGCCCAGGGTTGTTGTCACAACTAGTGAGTAGCAAACCAGAAATCCCTGACTTCTGAGTCTGTACCCATACCGTCTTTCCAGAATAAAGAAGAATGATGATGATGATGATGATGATGCAGCAGAGGAGATGAAGAAGCATACTACCTGGCCCTGACCTGGTAGCTTAGTTGGTTAAAGCACTGTCCCCATATGCCAAGGTTGTGGGTTCGATCCCTGGTCAGGGCACATACAAGAATCAACAAATCAATGCATAAATAAGTGGAACAACAAATCGATGTTTCTCTTTCTCTAAAATCAACAAATTAAAAAGAAAAGAATTATAAATAAAAGGAGATGAAGAAGAAGCCTACTACCTGGAAGCATGAGGGTATCTTCACTGCATGAGTTATTGTCACCAAAGCTTAAGCTCAAAATTTGAAAAAGGTGTGGAATCTGGTTAGCTAGCCAGAGTGAGTCATCTGACAGCTTTGTTTAAACACGCATACAGAGCTTTTGCTATAAAACAACTTCTCAGCCCTCTGGAAGGTAAACTGGCTTTTGTTAACTTGATTCCTTCCAAAAGTCAGAAAGCACTCCAGCAGTCTTTGTCTGAACTGGACACCTACTGGGGAATAGCTGAACCAAAAGGGACTCTGAGGACTGCCTGGCTCCATCACTTATTAATTGTGTTATCTTGGGCAAGTCGTTGACTCCTTTGGGGTCACTAGAACCTGGATTATAAAGACCAGTCCCCTGCCTCTCCACCCACAACCCCCGGCCGCGCACACACGCAGGGAATGCAGTGAAAGCATAAGGTAAACGGTTTGGAGCTGTACACGCTTTATCCCAGCCCTTCCAGCAAGGGAAGCAGGGGATGGCAGGCCCAGCTGCATCCACCCCTCCACCACTCCTCACAAAAGGAAAAACAGGGGCAAACTGGGCGATCGAGGGTGGAAAAGGGGAAGGGGGAGAAGAGGGAGGGACTTGATCTCCCCCTAGATACCCGTGGGGACGTCTCCCTCTTGAAACCCGGACTGAAGGCAGAAATCTCCGAAAGAGGCAGTTACCTCGGCAGCGGCATCAGGCTCGGGAACCGCTGCCATTGGCTCCTCTCCGCCGCCAGCAGCAGCACCGACACCGCGGAGGTCACCGCCATGCCCCTGCAGCCCCAAGGCTCTCTGACTCCTAGGCGCACTCCAGCTGCGTCGCGCACACCAGCACCAGCCCACACGTCACAAGGCAAAACCTGGGCTCCGTTCCGCAGCCCTGTTGTCCTCCGCGGGCCACCGTCTGGGTCAAAACCCAGCAATGGGCCGATCCAGTGTGGTGGGCGTCTCCTCCCAAACCAATCAAAAAACAGAGCAGAGCTTCAGTGCGGCGATTGGCCAATCGGGCCACGAGCCCGCGGAGGTGTGGTCCTGGTGTTCTCCTCCACAGGAGCACCACGCCTACTCTCGGAGGCGGCGCCCCTTCCTCCTCCTCTTGGAGAGCCGAGGTTTCAGACCTTTCTTTCTTCCCACCCGCTGCGGGCTTTCCCTCTCGTTAGGCTTCGGGTGGAAGAACCTCATCAGGTGTTCTCATTAGAGCTGCAGGGAAGTAGCGAAGAAGTCACGCTGCAGAAGTCAACTGGGGTAGAAAGCAGGATACAAAATTTTCTCGTGTTCTCAAAAAATGGAGAAAAAACTAAAATAAAATAAATAGCTAAACTAAAATATGTAAAACCTCCTGAGCTTTTGAAACGTGTTTTGACTGACTACTGGGAAAAAGAGGAGGTCAAAATCGAAATTGCAGAATATCTAGAAAGTAAACATACTGAAAGCCCTACATGTAGGTGCTTATTTGGTTTAGCTGAAGAAGCGCTCAAAATTCATAGTGAAAGTAAATGAAACATCCAATTCAAGAGTTAGAAAAAAATACAGAAATAAACATAAGGAAAGCAGCATAGAAAAATTAGTAAAGATAAAGGAAATAAATGAATTAAGAAAACTAGTATCAAATGAGTAATAATTCCAGGGATGGGGGGTACTGATAAAACAGATGCTTAACTAATCTGATTAGAAGACAAGCGGGGGGGGCGCGGGGGGCGCAGGTGTGTGAACAGTTGCCACAATTAAACGTAAGTTGGAAAAATCAGATCTAGAAAAATTATATATTTGTAAGAACAGACTAACTTTGCTCAACTTCAAACAAATTAAGTTGAAAACCTGAATGAAATGGATGCTGGTGCAAGAAAATGCAATTTACCAAAACGGACCCTGGAAGAGATAGAAAAGCTGATCAAACAATCACCACAGAAGAACTAGAGCATATTATTCTGAAAGAACCATTTTTCCTGAAGCAGGTGGCCCGCCTCGCACCACAAGGAAATTCCACCACACGGCACGGAATAGTTGACCCCAGTGCTACTATTCTGTCCCAGAGCGCGGGGAAAATGTCTTTCTAATTCGTTTTACAAAGTAAACGTAACATTGACACCGAAATGTAACAAAGATCGGGTGCGCGTGCGCGCGCCGCTCACGCACGCGCCCGTGGCCCGACTTTACTAGTGAACGTCCGCGGGAAAGCTCTAACGTGCAGCGAGGGGGCGGGGTTTGTAACACCGAGCCCTGTACTCGGAACGTGCTGAGAGCGCAGAGTGAGAGTGTTCCCACCGCGCCCGCCGAAGGTAACCCTGGGAGGGGATGCTGCTCGCCAGGTGGTGGTGATCATTTCACGACCTGTATATACACCAAATCATCACGTCGCACTCTGTAAACATAGACAACGTTATGTTTATGCCTCGATAAAGCTGCAGGGAAGGACTAAAAGTATAAAGAAAAAACAAGAGGCGCGGGCGTGCCTGTGAGGCAGGCAGCAGCGGGACTCCTGTTTTGCAGTCCACCCCACTCCCAGTCCCTCCCCACCTGTCCCGATGTCCCCCAACCCCCAGTTGCCCTGGCTCCGGGATATTTACCTAAAATATTTACTATCTTGCTTTTTACAGAAAAAGTTTGCCAAGTCCTGGAGAGTTACATGTTTAAGTTTACAAGAAACTACCAAAAAGTTTTTCTAAATATAATTGCATTATTTTATTGTCCTGCCAGAAATGAATGGCAGTTTCTCATCAATACCTAATATTGCTAATCTTTTAAATTTTAGCCATTTTGGAGGGTGTGGACTGGTATCTCACTGGTTTTAATTTGCAATGTCTGGATGGCCTCGGTAAGGGGGAGGCCATGCTGTTGGGTCCCCAGAGTGCTTCTGTTTCTGCCACCACGCTCACTCCACTCACATGCCCATCGTGCAGATCCCCGTGTGGTCTCCAACAGAGGCTAGCGGGCTTCACCGGCTGAGTCATCTTGTCAACTTGGTTGTTCAGTGACTCTTTCACAGTGGATGCTTTCTGATAGACATTCACATGTGAAGCAAAAATCTTCGCACTTTATGCTTACTGTAATATGTCTACCCACATGCCTCTATCCCAGAGCTCCTTTTCTCTGATGGTCCAGTCCTTTTGCTTCCAGGCCCCTTACCAGATGACCAGACCACGGCACTGCCCAGGAAAGCAGGTATTTCCTCACCCTGGGCCACCTCTCCTCCCCGGCAGATTGGACAACCTGCTTGCTGCCGTGCCTGTTGAGGAGATTTTCCTTCCCTGCTGTCTTTCGGGTTCATTTCTGAATGTGGCTATAATGCAGCCACTGTCCAGTTTGGGTTTGCACCCATATACCAAGCCAACTGATCTGTAAACCAAAGTGGGCTTTCCTTCTTTTTCAACTGATGACATGCATCCCCCACAACATAGGTGCAAGCCCATAGAAGGGCACTGGTGCCACTCTGGTGGGTGACGTGGGGAGTCTGGGCTACCTGCCCTGAAGCATGGCCATGCCCTCTAGACCTGCTTGGGCTAGATCCTGGATATACCATCCCCATCTTATAAATGACCACTGCTAGACCCATCCGACTTTATCACTGAGTGGATTTGACAGAATCCAGCTGAAACTGGGCAATTCTGGATACATGGTCACTTAGCATCCCAAGGTCAAGTGTTCCAGGACCCAGTGTCATGCCAACAACTGTTTCTCTACTGCAAATGGCATGGGCTTGGGCTTGCTCCAGAATGCTCAGTGTCTGTGTTAAGATTCTCCTACTAGAGTTTGTCAAATATGCCAAGCTGTGCCTTTATCCACTGCTGACACCGCTACCTCCCTAAGGTCTGCCAGACTGGTGACTCAAGCAGCAGGGCTGATTGCATACCTGGCAGCAAGCCTGGAGTCGCTTTACTGCCCTTTCCTGCTCTGGCCCCACTCAGACCTCTCTGTCACCTGGTTGATGGGCCAGAGGGACTCTCCTAGCTGGGGACTGTTGCCTCCAGAACCTAAAGAGGCCTACCCAGCTCTGTGCTGCCTTCTTTGTGGAAAGGATGCGAGATGCAAGACATCTGTGTTTTATTTTGAAGAGGATATCTGGCATGCCCCGGAACCCCCCGAGTCACTAAAAATTTCGCTGAAGTAGTCAAACCCTGAATCTTCATAGGGCTGGTCTCCTACCTCCTGGAACACCTGTCTTACCAAGACCTCCAGCATACTGACCGCTTTGTACTTATCTTGTCCACGTAGTGGTGCTATGTGATGTCCCACAAATGTCTGTGTAGACCAGGTGTCTTTGGATTACATTATGGTAGAAGACAGGAGAGTTCACAGATCCCTGAGGCAGAACTATGCATGAACATTGTGGAGCCATGGGACAATGGCCAGCCTTTGTGGACAGTCAAGGCAGCCTGCACAGTGTCTGGCCAGTGGACTGTCTGCACCAGGGTTTGAGGGGCTGCTCCCCTGGGGAGGCGCTTCCTGTGGGACAGAGTTGGAAACAGGCCAGAAAGGGCCCTTATTACCCTCTTATTACCCTTTGTATGGATTCTTATGAATCATTATTCTTAGTGTGCATACAAGAATTTATTTACCTGAGCTTCTCAAAAATATAAGTCAGTAATTTCACAGTGTGTCTCTTCACAATGAACCCAGGGTAGTCAGAATCCAAGATGGCCCCCCTTGATTTCTGCCTCTCCTGGTATTCGCACCCTCACGTAGTCTCCTCCCATGCTGTACCAGGGGTGGCCCGTGTGACCAAAAGAATGTAACAGAAATGATGGCATGTTGCTCCCGTGATTAGGTGGTCAGTCTCTCTCTCGGGTCACTTGCTCTGGAAAAAGCCAGCAGTCATGTGGTGAGCCTCTTTATGGATATGCCACATGCTGTAAACTTGGAAGCAGGCCCTTTAGTCCCAGTTGAACCTTCAGGTGACTGTAGCTCTGGCCAACAGTTTAGCTGCCACCCGGTGAGATACCTTAAGCTAGAACCACCAGTTTAGCTGCTTCCAGATTTCCGACCCTCCGAAACTCTGTGAGATAATAAATGTTTGTTGTTTTAAACTGCTAAGTTTTGAGGTTATTTGTTACACAGCTACAGATAACTAATACAGGAGATCTTCTTATTTATCTCAGCCCCTACCAGAATGTTTGGCATTTAGTAAGTCCTTAATTAATGTTGTTTGAATGAATGAATTAGGACATCACTTAAGGGAACCAGTAATTCAATCAGTCTGGACTGAGACTTGAAAGATTTAATTTGTAACTTCAATGTGGTTTATCTTCTCAGAAATTAAGTTTCACTCAAATTGGTCTTCCTACCTGTTAATAATGTGGCAATGAAGAATAGAACAAGATAAATTATGTATAGTACAATGGTTTAACCCATTAATTCAAGTGACAACCTCCATATTAAAGGCCAACCATTAAGATTGTAAACAAAAATTTTTATACAACAAAAACTGAATTATAAGAAATAAATGAATCTCCAAAATAGGCTTTTATTACAAAAACTTTTAATACAATTCAATATCCTACTAAGACTAAAGTCAGGACCTTGCCAATCCTATCGACTCATAAGAGAACAAGTCGGGAAAGTCAATTTGTACTCTGGGGTGACTTGAATTATCATTCTTTTACTAAGGAATGCTATAGGAATGCGATCTATTCTGTTAATGTCCTGACTTAGTTTCTTTCTTTAGCAGTAACACCAAGCATGGACATTATTTTTTGGCAGGCTACTATACAAAATAAAGTGAACATGAACAGAAAACATGGCTATAAAAGTGCAGAAGATGCAAGTTGCCACTAGAGGGAGACCTACTTCAAGAAAGAAAGGTTGGTTAGCAGAAAATTGCTGTTTGTAAAGAAATAAAATACCTTCAGTTGACTTCATTTCTTCATCTTCAGAGCCACAGCAAAATAATCCCATTAAAATGAAAAAACTGACTAATGTCTTCCGGAACCCCTCCATCTTCTTTAACAAGAGTAAAGAAGGGGACTTAAAGATGGGCTACTTTATTACCTGTCGAGTCCTCCTCTAACAGATCTCCCTCATCTGTTTTGATTCTGGATAAATATACTTCCCATGTAAAAATGCAGCATGTGCCAGTGTGAGGCCTTGGGCAGCACTTAGTACCACTTGTTCTTGTAGGCAACTTGGTGTAGTGAAAAGACCAGAGGCTTTGGTGCCAGACCAATGGGAAGTCAAATTCTGGCTCTGCCACTTGTTAGCTGGGTGACATTTAAATGATTAATTTTGTTACGTCTGAGTTTACTCATCTGTGAGTCATGAGAATTAAATGATGTAAATTACATAAGTTATGTAAACTGCTTTGCCTAGTGTCTAGTATGTATATGTTCAATAATCAAGGGTCATCATTGTTGTTTCTGGCTTATCATTCAGTTTTGTTGTCCATAGCCACCTAATTCTTAGTCTTCAATGATTCTGGGGCAGGGGAATTCTGGGGAATAATCAGATACAAAAAAAAAGCTGACTTGTTCCTCTTGTTGATGTCAGGCCAAAAACCTAGGCTCTTCCTGTAGAATATTGTCCTTTTTGATAATTAAAAAACAATTTAAGGTAGAAGGGAGTTAGTAGATCGCCAGCATGTTTGTCATATAAGACATAAAAACTAAAGGATTGTAATACCATTTTTATAGACAAAGCATAGGCACTTTTTAAAATGAAAAAGATAAAGGATGAAATCAAGTCCCCAGGTTGAACACAGGTAGTGTTAATTACATTAGATGCTTTGGTTTATAAATTGGAGGCATATCCCACTTTACATAAGTTACGTTAATTTAACGTATCTCAAATATTGACTTTGAATCATTAAGATATTTTTAGGAAACTAGAAAATACTCTTAAAGAACTCATTAGATTTTTCCTAAAATAAAATAAATTCAGAAATTGATGTTCTGCTTGAACTTGAATCAGAAATGACTTGGTTTTTGTGAAAGATGGTTTACATTGTTGGAAGGACCCACACTCTAAGGGAAGTGCCCAGTATCCTGGAAACAATGAAAGAATTCTCTAAACTCCATTGTTTTCTTTTCCCCTGGGCACCAATTAAATTCTCTGGTATCCAGATGATTCACGCCTGAGGCGGATTCCATAGACAATCAAACCCACGGCGCAGAGGCCCAGCACGATGGCCCCAATCACAGGCAGCACAATTGTGTAGTCAGACGAACACTCGTCCACTAAGAGAAAAAACAAATACAATATAGGGCGTAAGGTTTGATGAGAGTAGACCAAAAGGCAGGCTAGAGTAGGAGGGAGGTGAGCTTTGGGGTCGGACCTTGGCTTGACTTTTAATCCCACCCCTAACTAACTGTGTGAACTTGGGTAGGTTATTTAACTTTGCAATGTCTTCTTTTTATAAAGTAAGCAACTAAAATGTAAGATTGTTGGTAAATTAACTAAGATAAACTTATCTTTTCAGCAATAGATATTTAATAAGATTAGCTCCAATTTCTTACAGGTGCGCTCTCTGCAAATGGTGATGTGTTTACATAAAAGAGACTGTGTCACTAGACTGGACTACACATGATCTCTTGAAAACATGTAATGCTTATCCACCTCATAAAACTTTTCTTGTCAAACACTTAAAGTTCCTTTCTATTGCTCTACTGAGCTAAAAATATTAGAAAATAGACCTATTTATTTATTAGAGCTTAAAAACAAAAGTTTATAAGTTAGTCAAACTCTTTTTTTCTTCATTCCATTAGAGAGTACTTATTCAGTTCATTTAAAATGTAATCAGTCTCTCCTGGAGACAGACGGAGGGCCCAGGGATAAAGCAGAGCTTGACTGAGTACGAGTACATGGAAAACCATATTATATCTTATTCAAGGGTAGAGGAGAGGATATATCCATGAGGTCCTTGCAGGAACCAATATTGAAATGAAATAAGGATCACTATTTACCCAATTCTCACTTTAAGTCCAAGAAAAAAACTCAGGAGGGGCCAGGGAGAGGGAATGGTAATTAGAGACTCCAGAGAAACATCCGAATCTGTTCAAGACAGAAACTGCTTTTCACACAATATTTGATTTGGTAGGAGACAATATTTACATAACTATAATTATATATCTTATTGATTTAATAATAAGTGGAGGTAAAACCATAAAAGGGGTGGTATAAGAGGATTAAATCTTTTTTAAAAAAACAAAGTCTTTAAATTTTATCAATTGATTTTGAGAGAGACAGAAGCATTGATTTGTTGTTCCACTTATTTGTGCATTCATTGGTTGATTCCTATATGTGCCCTGACCAGGAATTGAACCTGTAACCTTAGTGTTTTAGGATGATGCTTTAATCAACTGAGTGACCCAGCCAGGGCCTAAGAGGATTATATCTTGTATCTACCTTAGCAAGAAGTTTAAAGCTGATAAATTAAGAAATTGTAAGAGAAGCTTTTAAAATATTTTTAAAAGAATTAGGAAATAGTTATCATAAGAAATTGTTAAAATTAGTTACAAGTGCTTTATCTTTTAGAGGAAGGACAGGGAAATGCTATTTTTCCTGATAAACTCTTTTGTAGTACATGATTATTTTGTTATGTATATTAATTTTTATTAGATAAAAAAACATACTGACTAGTTAAGAACTTAAAATGATTTGGAAAAAATACAGAAAAGTTCAAACAAAAGATAAAGCATATAACTATTGACCAAGTAATCCTACTACTAGGAATTTATACTAAAAATATATTCACATAAGTACATAAAAATATGTTACAATAATCTGCATTTTATGAGAGCAAAATGGACAAACTAAATACCAAAAATTTTAAATGGTACAATCATACAATAGAATATAACATAGCCATTTTTTAAAAATGTGGCAGATCTCAGTGTTTTTTGGAGGATGCACCGTGCTCTTTCAATCTGCAACTTCAATGATTGATTGATTTTAAGGGAAAGCCCTGAAACCATCAAATATATCTTCATTCTAATTTTGAGTCCTCTACTTCAAGGGTACCAATTGTCCTTATGTTAAATGGTCTGAACAGCTTCCACCCCTGGCAGCTTCTCTGGAATGTTACAGTGTGAATTTTGTCTGCATTAACCAGTTATCTCATTCATTTTCTCTGTGAAGACAATTTAGTTTATAGCCTTATCAATTATACCTCTTACTGTTTCTATTTGTTATGTACGTGTGTTGCTTTGATACTCAATTTGTTTTCTTAGGAGTAAAATCACCTATTTACCTTGCTCTTTCATTATAACATCTCATCTGTGAGCTCCAGTTATACGGAATTCATGTTCTTGTTAAGTAATTGTCAGCATAAACCGATTGTCAGGGGTTTCTCCCTTTTCCTTGAGTTATATTTTCTTTGTAGTTTATCAAATACATTCCTTTCTAACCATTCCCTTCTTTAATTTGATTTAATTTTTAAAAATTGTGGTAAAATGTATATAATATAAATTTACCATTTTAACTGTTTTTAAGTGTACACTTTAATGATATTAAGAAATTCTCATTGTTGTGTAACCATCACCACCATCCATCTCCAGGACATTTTTCATATTGTAAAACTAAAACTTGGTATCCATAATTTAATTTAATCTTATGTTATTCTTATTGTTATTTTGCTGCAGTTAATTTGCATAGTAGTCACATCATTTGTTTTCATCTTGCTTATGCTTAAGCATCTCATCCAATTTCCTAAGATATCATTAAAGTAAATTAGGAATTTTCTTCTTATTGTGTTTGAGATCACTTTGTTTCCTGCTGAGCTACCTGTTTGTTTCATTTCTTTCTTTCTTTCTTTCTTTTTTTTTTTTGAAGATTTTATTTATTGCCCTGACTGGTGTGGCTCAGTGGGTTAGGCGCCATGCCACAAAGCAAAAGGTCTCTGATTTGATTCCCTGTCAGGACATGTGCCTGGGTTGCAGACCATGTCCCCTGTTAGGGGTGTGTGAGAGGCAGCTGATCCATGTTCTCCCTTCTTGTTCTCCCACCCTTCCCCTCTCTCTAAAAAATAGCCATTTGTAAATACTTTGATCATAAACCTTTGGTCTACATTCTCTTCCAAAGCATTCACACTCCAGGGTCATTTTATTTATTTATTTTTAGAGAGAGGGAAAGGGAGAAAAAAAGAGGGGGAGAGAAACACCGGCCGGTTGCCTCTTGTTGCACCCTGACCGGGGACCAACCGGCAGCCCAGGCATGTGCCCTGAACGAGAGTCGAACTGGACGTGGGAGAAGTGGCATCTCTCCAAAGTCAAGCCCTTTCTGTTAAACCTGCATCACTTTGGGAAATACCAGGTCCTCACATCCCAGATTTTTCATCAACAGCTCCTGTTCTAAAGGGGAAACAGGAAGTTCCTGACACTCAAGATGTTGTCCTGGCCTCTCCAAACCTTCTTGAAGCTGCTGGGTGCCCTCCCACCACCGCAATTCTGGAAAGTGGAGAGAACTCGAATACCTCAAGGGAAAGCCAGCACATGTCCTAGATAAACAGTAGGTATAGAATTGTTGCCAGCTTTCATAAACTTGCCGTTAAAAGTAATGAATGGCACCTTTGGCAAATGTAGAAAAACAAGAAACTTCCCATTAGTAAAAGCAGTGAACATCCAGAAGTCCGTGACTGTCCTCTTTCTCTGAAATAAACATTCTAATTCTCCTATTTAATCAGCCAATGTGATAGAAAACCATCAATAACATTCTGAGCCTTTTTTTACTGGAACTTTTCCTCCAGATATCAATCATCCCCCCAGCCAAGAATTTCCTGGTTTGTAATTATTTTGGTAAGTGTTTGCCTAAAAGGGGAAGTGGGCCATAATCTGGGTCAATCTGCCTCTTCTGCTGGCAAGTTCTGATTGTTGTTTTGCCTACTCTCTCTCCACAGTGACCCAAATTAACAAATTTACAAAGATAGACTAACATCAAAGAAAAATAGAGACAAAGTAGAAAAAGACCGTGTTAAGAAGGCAGACAACAAATGAAGGTGAAGGAATTAGAGAACTAACATTTATTGAGCTTCTTTTGTTTGCCAAGATCTTTGGTACATGCTTTACATTTAAAAAATGCAATGTCGGAAAGTTTTCTAGTTTCTAGTTTTTGACTAAGAGTACATCACAGGAGTGTAAAATACGTCCTTTTAAAAAAATAACAGTCTAGTAAAACAATCTGTAACTTAAGACAATCAAAACTTGGGCATAATCTAGGAGTTTAAAATCACTTTACAATGTATTTTGAAATGAATTTTTTTAAAAGACTGGATATTGAGACTCTTAAAAATGTGTAAGGAAACTCAGTGCAATTTGAAAATGTCTTTCCCACAATTCTCCCTGTGGGTATTTGCTGTGTCCTCACAAGCACCCTACTCAAGGCCCTGCCTCCTGTTCCTTGTGTTCGCAGCCAGCTGCCGTGAGCAGGTGTGCGGTGGACTTCAAGCCCACGGGCACGGCCTCCCCGCACTAACAGAGGGAAGTGGGAGGGACTATGTTTTAACCAGCCTTTGGATTGGCTGGGTTTCCTGACAGATTGGGAGGGTGGGACAGGCAACAGGAAAAGTCCACCCCTTCACGTTAGGCTGAATAGGAAGCCAGAATCCTCAAGTTTTTAACCTTGCACATTCTGAAGAAGCTGGGGCTTTACATGCGTTCGTATCCTCTACTGGGCCCCTTTCTGGCCACCAGGCATGCTGTTAGCAAAATGACAAGCAGTCCTGTGATACTGAGACCCACGGCCACAGGGATTTCTCTCCTGGTTCTGTCACTGAAGCATTCATCTTCTGTAATTGAAGTCAGAGTAACAGATGTTACAGGCCGGCCACCTGGTGGGAATGGATCCTGCCCCTGCCTGCCTCAGCTTCCCAGAGAAGGAAGTCAAGGGAGCGAGGAAACTGCTGGGCCTCTCCATGCTGCCTCAGACATCCCGATGAGTGCAGACGAGGAAGGAAGGGTCGGCACAGTGATCTGGAGCGTGTGGTGCTTGTGATCACTTAAGGAGTGTATGAACTTGTAGACACCCAGGCCCCACACCCAAGAGATGATGATTCAGTGGCTGGCAGGAGGGACCAGGTCATTCTGGGGCAGCTGGGAGGCAGACCCACCTTTGAGAAACATTGGTTTGGTCTAGAGGGCCAGAAGCAGAACTGTGTCTTGACTCCCAAAGTAGGGTAAGTCCTGGAGCCATGGCTCCCCACCAGATCACATGGCCCAAGTTTTCTACTCAAACTCTGCACTTCTTAAAGGGGCTGCTGGACAGTCTGGGGCTCCTGACACCCAGAAACCTTTCACCGGCTCCAGGATTTTGGGGAGGAGGCGTTGAGATTGTGGGAGCCAGGAGCCTACCGTTTGCGGTGATCATTCTCTTTGAATAGGCTGAGATTTACACTTGAGTTATCATGAGAGGGATGTTTTAGACACTGAAGATCAATTCCTGGACATATGTAGAAATCCTTGTAACACTGTTTTCCCGGCAAGGAAAAAGGGACTTTTTGGGAAAGTTACCCTGGTCCCCCTGTCACCCACCCCACACTCCACCCCACCCCCGGCCTTCTTTCTAGGACCTGCTTCCCTCTGTGGTGGTTAAAGCCCAAAGCAGAAGTTGCATGGAAATTAAAACTAACTATGAGGTAACTATTCATAATCGGGAAGAAGGGGACCAGCTGAGTGCATTTCTATCTTGAATTCTCGTCTCCCTTTGTGAGTAGGAAAGAATCTATTCTGAAGTCTTGATTTTTAGACATCACTAATACTTGGGATCTTCAAAGTGTTCTCCAAATACAGCTGAGTTTACCAGCACTCACTGATTTATTTGTGTGTGTGTGTGTGTAAAGGATTCCGAATATGTGTTTTGGCCAGACAAGGAGAATGTATTCCACTGTGGGAGGGCAGTAGACATGAGTGGGCTAAGGTGTCTGGTTCTGAGATGGGTGCTGACTCATAGAGAAATAGTAGGAGGGAGGGTCAGCCAGAGGAACTTGACCTAAGACCTCTGTGGAATCATACTGTTCTAAGAAGCTCATGTGATTCTTGTCCTTTAGAAAAAAAGCTTCAGGAAAAAAAAAAAAAAGCAAGCCACACACACTTGAAACTACCCATGGGTCTCTGAAGTTTAAGTGACATGACAAAAGCTTAACTTACCATTTCCAAAGTGGTCATCTTCAAAATCAAAGGCTTGGAGTTGGACATTCATTGTCTTCAGTTGAAGGGAGGCTGACAGCTGGACACTCTGCTCACTCACGCACTTGAAGGAATGCCCAATCACGGTCTCAAACACCGTCACACCACTCTTCAGGCCGTGGTAACTTTTCTCTGAAAACACAAAGGTGAAATACAGTCATATAAAGATCTTGGCACATATCCACTGAGTCCCAGCTTGGCTGGGTGGCCCGTGTCAGTTAAATGGCCTTCCCTCAGCAGTGGCTGTCCAGAGTTCTGCCTTCTCCTCATAAAAAATCACACTCTTGCCCTTTGGGGACTTTTTCCAGTGCTCTGTTTGGAGTTGCTGTAGACTCTTACATCTGTATGAGCAAATATCCTACACGATGCACTGAATTCTCTGCGTACACTGCTGCATCATATGTTATATCACAGGGTGGTCTACCTCTGCCACCCCCAGTGACACTATAATGGTCACCACCATCATAATTACAACTTGTTACTCTTACTGATACCACCCTCATCGCCTACATGAGAATTGTCACTACTGCAATGTCACACTGTGTTCAGCGGCTACTGCTACTGCTGAGCCCTGCTTATTGGGGCCTGGAGTTGCTCTGTCCCCTCCCTCAGCCTCTAACTTAGTTTCTGGCCTTACTTTCCCTTCCCCTGCCTCTTGAGACATTACCGCCCCATTACCAGCTAAAATTTGGTCCAGGCCTAATGATAATGTTCGCTAACATGCGTTCCCAATACTTGTTCCCAGCCTGTATGAGTGTACTTACCTAAGAGAGTCAATGTACATGAAAGTGAGCTGCTGACTATGACATCCTACTTACATTTTACCAATAATCATTGACAACATCCTCTTGAATAATATTAATATAACATAGCTAGTATTTAAAATAGACATTTCTCCACATTTTCATTTCTTGGTGCATTTCTTTAGTATAAGTTCCTTAATAAGACACTAAGTTTAACCCAGTCAAAAGAGAGAATTGTGAAAAGGGGAAGACAGAAATGAAAACTCAGTACAGTGGTACACAATACAATTTGTTATCTCAATCTGGACTTCCCAGAGAAACATGTGAGGCCTCTAAGAAACTCCGGCTCTTCTCTGGGAGCATTACTTTTCTAGAAGCGAACATGTTAGAAGTTCTCTCAATGTGCTTCACTATGGGCAATTCTCCACATAGCAACCAAAATGAAGCTTTAGAAATGTAAACCTGATGTATCATTTTTCTACACCAACCCCTCCAACGGCATCCTTTCACACTTTAGAATAAATTCCAAAGTCCTCACCTTGTCTTGCCCACAGGCTCTGCATGCTCTGGCCTAGCTGCCCTCAGACCTCATCTGCTGCTTTGCTCATCGGCGCCTGCTGGTCTCTGAGCACGCCAGCAAGTTCACTGAGGGCCTGTGCATCTGTTGTTCCCACCACCCGGAAAGAGCTCCCCTGGGCCCAGAGGTTCCCGTGTCTCTCTGCTCAAACCTGACCTCTTCAGAGAGGCCTTCCTCCCCTGAGGGTTTCCTGAAGGCCCTACCTAAAACAACCTTCCAGTACTCTCCAGTACTCTCCACCCTACCCTGCTTATATTTTTCTCATAGAACTTTTCACTACTTAACTGTGTATCATAATTTAATGTGTCTGTTTATGGTCCTCTCCCCACTTCTAGAATGTAAGCTCCCTGAGAGCAGAGACTGCCTGCTTAGATAATAATGGATTTCCAATGTATTCAGGGCTTGGTGCCTAGCAGGCACAAACTACATTTTTTGGGGAAATGAATGCATGACTCTAAGACTATAGAATACACTGCACCCTCAGCCACAAATCTGTCCAAAGTCACTACACTCTTTACTGTTGCTGACAATGATTTCTGACATAACATAGTCCCACCTCCTTCACGAGCAGACGAATGAACTGAAGTACACAAAGACGTAGTGAGTTCCTTCCAAGTTATGCATACTGTGGGCTACCGTCTCAGTCTGTTTCTCAGGAGCAGCATCGAAGATTCCAGAATGCAACAGGATCACACATGAACTAACCAGAAGCAGTGTCACTGCTGGTAGAACAGCCCTCTCTTGCTTCTTACCTGGGTTTGAGACCGTCAAATGGGCTTCCACCTCACTGATGTAGTAGGAGTTTTCATCCTGTAAAACATCAGTGTATTAACCTTGGGGTGCTCTCTGTTTTCACATTCATGACCCTGGTGTATACCCTTTGTTCAGGTGAGAATCCGGCTACTAAATCCTTGATATGAGGGTTTGAGGTGTGTTGGTATGGAGCCATAATTATGTTTAAAAATTTCAAACAAAAGTAAATAGACCACATGATAAATAAATAACAAATAATGGCTTTCCCCTGGCTCAAAATTTCTCTACTGCATAGTTGCTGCTAGAGTCTGAAATTAAAATTCCACCACTACAATTTGAGTCCCTCCAACTGGGCCAAGTTTCCCCCGATAAAATGTAAGTACACCTGGAAGGTGGAGGGGTTGGAGGACCACACATTAAGCTTTTGTAATTAATATCCTACTGTAGGGGTGCAAACTCGGGCCACCCCTCCTTAAGGCTACCATGGGTGGACTTTATGGGGAAGTATAAACCCTCTGGGGGAAAACTGTGCATGCAGAATTTTGGCTATATTTTCCTGGTTAGAGTATCAAGTCCTTCAAACAGATGGGTCCATGTTTCCAAAATGGTTACACGGGGACACAGTGAGTGATTCTGGAAAGAAATGGTTTACCCTGAGGTCACTGGGTGTCTGCACAAGGGGACCCCAGGTGGTTGTGCTAAAAAATGTAAGAGTCTCCACGTTTTATCCAGAATTTCAAATTGAATTACCTGTAGAAGTTTCAAATCTAGGCATTAAAGAAATGGAACAATAATAATCTTGACCACATTTGTATATTATTTGTGGATGAAATAATTCCTTACACAATATAAGGGTTCTAGAAATACAGATTGTCTTAGAAAGGTAACTACTATTGATACACTGAACTCTAGGTCTGAAATTCATTGAATTCACCTACTACATACTGACTTCTCACCTTGTGCCAGGTACTGTAGCAGACATGTACTATGCTGCACCTTATTTAACCCTCACAGCTATGAGAGGAAATGTAGACTCCATGACTGGCCCAAAGTCATAACCATAATAGGTGGTAGAAAGATATGACCCCCATCTGCCTGTCTGCAAATATAGCCTCTGACCTCTTATGTTCACTCACTCTGGACCAGGCACTGCTCTAAGTCTGGGGAGAAGAGTACGACCTGGCTCCTTCCTTTGAAGTGCTCAGTCTCAGGTCTCAAAGGTTAGTTTGACAATGTGCCTGGAGCATCCATTCATTTTATTATTTATTTATTTATTAAATCCTCACCTGAGGATATGTTCACTAATTTTTAGAGAGAGGAAGGGAGAGGAAAGAAGAGAGAGAGAAAGAAAGAGGAGAGAGAGGCCCATTGATTGGTTGCCTTTCGTACCTGCCCCAACTGGGGATCGAACCTGTGACCTAGGTATGTGCCCTGACTGGAAATCGAGCTCACAATGCTCTAACCAACTGAGCCACTCTGCCAGAGCAGGTGATCCATTCATTTTAGGGAGACACATCTATGATCCAGTCCATTTCTTGGATTGCTTACACATATCATTCATTCAGATTTTTATTTGGCACAACAGATACCTGTGCTCAGGCATCTTCAGTGCCCAGAACGACTCTTACAAGACCCTATTCCATGCTGAGGGCAGAGAGGGTCCACTGAAACATTTTAAGCAGGACAGTGACAGGAGCACAGCTTGGTTTCGGAAATTGCTTGGGCTCCAATGCGAGATTGCTTTGAGGAGCCGCAGGGAGTGGGGAGGCCAGCTCTGGACCCTGTGGGAGGCCGCCTGGAATCTCCACTTTCCCATGGCACCTCCTTGATCTGTCCTCACATGGAGAAGAGATGCTTCGTATTTCCACAGAAGTTTCACAGTTTACTAAGCTTATGCTTTCACCTACATTGCTTCCTTTGATCCTTGCAACCACCCCTGAAATTATTAGCCCATTTTACAGCTGAAAACAAAGAGGCTCAGTGAAGTTAAGCATCCAGCTCTGGTTCCCATTGTTTAGAGGTCAGACAAAGCAAGATCTTGTCTACAGGATCCCACCCTGCATTTTCCTCCATCAGAAAGTGGGTATAGACAAAAATTCACTAGGCAAGAACTTTCTTTCATAGTCACTGAAATGCAGCTGCTTTATATACACATCTATTAGAAGCAGGGACAGCTACATAATTTGTGGGGTCTAGTACAAGAGGAAGATGTAAGATCTTTTGTTCAAAAATCGTTTAAGAATTTCAAGGGGTGACAGAAAAGCATTAAACCAAGCTCAGGCCCTCCTGACTGCACAGGTCCTCCGTTGCTAACAAACTTCTTTCGTTGAGGTTACATGGTATATTTTTAATCTATTTCCTAGAGCTCAGATCTACCACAAACAGAATAAGAGAGAACAAGTAAGTGAGCTAAGCTCAGATAGCTGTACTGATTAAAGAGGCTGAACCCTGAGCTCTGGGGGACAGCAGTCTGGTGGTTACAGAGGAGAGGGGTGGAGGGGCGGGGTGGGAAGCTTCAAGCAGGTTAGACTTAACCCAAAGCCCAAGGGAAATTACATGCCACACATTATTCCATTTGTGGTGTCTTTTTTATCTTCAATGCCCAACCCACATGGTCATTCTTCTCTGACAGATGTTTTTCTTATTTGGAGTTTGGTTTGGAGAATGGAAAACATCTACCATGCCACACTCTTGAAGGCACAATGAAGATCCTCTGTGTACCATCAACACTGACAAAAGGGTGCCAAGGACTCCATACAGCCGTGTCCATTTGAACAGACTACTTGCAAAAGTCTCACCCCACTATTCAACAGGTAGGTTGCTGACACAGTGGCCCTGCACTGCCAGTATGGAAAGAGAGCTCTGCAACATCTCATGGGAGAGATTCCAATTCCTTGAGGGACCCAAACACCCTCCTTAGCAAAGGACAGGCCCTGAGCCAGCCAGCCAGTGGAGCCTGCCCGGGAAGGCAGCCCGCCAACAACTACGGGCCCTGGGGCCTCTCCTTTAGTTCTGCAAAGCGTATCGCAGGAGTTTCACAGGCACAGATGTTCAGGATGTGGATTTTGCCTTCAACACCAGTCAGGTCTTTTCCACTCAGCATTGCTGTGACTACATCAAGACACCTTCGCTCTCGATACAGCAAAGGAAGCCAAAGGGGCTGTTTCTTTAGAGCTGCTGATAGCCTTTTTGGTGGCTTGGCCCAGTTCTCTGTGACATTTAGGTTCGCTAAATATTGATTTATTTCTTCATCAAATATTTGCTATGTACTATGTACCAAGCCAGGGCTGGGCATGAGAGAGAGAAATGTGACCAAGTCAGAGATGGCAGAATGTGTGACAAGGACGCTAACAGGGGTGGGGGGACTGCAAGAAGGAAGTCTCCCAGGTCTCCCTGGGATGGAGGTGGGGGTTGGGGAGACTTCATGGGCTGAAGATAATTGACCCATCTTAAAGGATGAATGCAAAAGGGGGCTGATGGGTGGGAGGGGCCTTCCAGGCAGAGGGAAAACAGCATAAAACGCTACTGTGCACTTGGGAACTTCTAAATAGTGGCCTCTCCCGTGTTAACGTTGAACACTAGTCACAGTTCTCCGGAGTCTCTAGGCCGAGAGGACTCCACAGGCCCCTGGAAGGTTCTAAGGAACCATGAGGTGGGGCAGCGGCAGCCGCAGATCGCCAGAACTCAGCTGGCCAGTGTACTGTGTAGCCCCACACACCTCCCTCCGCACTAGCGACTGATTTCTCCAGTGTTCTGGAGCTGCCTGGCCAGCCAGGTGGATAAGGAAGGGACAGTGTTGAACACAGAAAAATGGACTCCACACAAGTTACTGAAAGGTGATCTTAAAACCAACTCCCTGGGCAGGAAGGACGTCAGCAGGGGGAGGGAGGTGCATTTATCTTGCACCTGGAAGGTCTGAGCAACTTTCTGCGTGTCACCTTAATCAAACGAGACACTGCCATGGAGAGGTGTTCAGGTCTTTTAAAACGATGAAACTGAGGGAGAGGAGAAAGGAAACCCACCTCTCCTAACCCCACCGTGAGCCAGAAATCATGCTCAGTGCCTTCACCTGTGCCTGCCTGGTTCACCCTCACGGCCCCCAGCAAAACAGGTGCTGCCTTGTCCCATCATGTGGGAGAGGAAACAGACTCAGACAGAGAACTAGTGACTTGTCCACAGTCACATGGACATGACACGGGTAATAAAAGCCTTGACTGAACAATAACATCACATGACAGTTTAGGAGGCAGATTTTTCTCTACATTTCTGTCACTATATTTCAATCGAAAAAAATTACAAATGACGTCCATGATTTGACACTTGGAAGTACAGCCTACATTTCTTTTCTCTCTCCCCATGGTGCCCAGCTCAGGGTTGAGGATGCACTGGTTGCCCAGTGAACTCTCACTGATAAATCAGTCCATGAACCAGGCTTCCTAATAGGCATCCATTTATTGTTCCACAACTGGCTGCTCACCTGCCACATCTAGATTATAACCAACACACACTCCTGTTTTCCAAGGCTCTCTTGTTCTCTAGAGCATGGGATCTCGACTGAGTGATTATGCCCAGAGGAGGGCATTGGCAATGTCTGGAGGCATCTGGGGTCGCCGCCCTGGGGCTGGCGTCAGGCAGGTAGAGGCCAGGGATGCTGTTCAACATCCCACAATGCACCGGACAGCCCCCACCCCAAGGACTCGTCTGACCCCAGGTGTTACTCACTCCTGCGTCTGTTGAGACAGGCTGGTGTAGACTGCAGCACTATTGGAGAAGTGGCTGACTGACGGGTTGAGCCCATCTCTCTCGTGGAAGCATCCAGGCAGCTTTCCTGCCTCCCTGCATTTCTCACGGCCTGCCTGTTAGGGCAGGAGGTGCAGCGCTGGGTCCACGGGCAGAGTGGGGCCCACAGCTGTGTTTCGTTTGGCCAGGAGAATGTTCAGATTTTTAAAAACTGTGTTGCCAACACTTAAAAATCATGTGTTTTTATAAGAAGATCTGAACTTTTGCCTTTTCTTAAGCAATCAGATCGGGCCACACTGGTCTCTCATTATCACCCAGTAGAGTGATGTGTAGGATGGTTAACAACCGGCACAGGAGGGCAGTGCCTGCCATAGACAGATGGCAGTGAGTCCTGGGTGAGGTGCCGCCCCGCCGCCGCCGCCGCCGCGGAGGGGCTGCCCCGCTGGGCAGTCGGGGCACCCCAGCCTTCCTCTGTCTCCTCACTGCAGGGGCCTTACTAGTGGCCACTGACACCTCATGTTTACTGATGGTTTTCTCATGCAGATTTGATGGAAAAATGAAATCTTCCTTCGCATCGGGCTTCCTCAACAGTGGGAAAATATTTTTACAGGATGGAGAAGAAGACACAGAAGACCTAGGGTCACAGGGTACAAATGCAAACTCCTTCCAGCAAGGCTGAGAGTACTCAGTTATGTACATCCTTGCCCACGTTAAGCATTACTCTATTTTAAAATCTTTGTTAATTGAATTAATTCAAAATATCTTGTTATTAAAGAAGTGAGAAAATAAAAAATTATCACCTGTTTCAAGGAAAAAAGAAATACTTACTAGCCTACTGCCTTCATTCATTAAATTCTATGCTTAACCCCCGGGTAATCTTTGAATGTGTGGTTGTTTGGGGGGGTTTAAACCAGATCCCTTTTTCAGTGCAGAAATTCTTCAGAAGGACCAAGGCTGCCAGGAACATTTATCTCCTATGAGCCTCTTTCCTTTCCTCTGGTGGCAAAGGGAAGTCAGCTGCCTGGGGAGCTGGTGCTGGGGAATAAGGTGAATTTGGGGGGTGAGACTAGAGGCAGCTATGGCAACACCTGGGGCCGTGGACCCAGAGTGGCTCATCTGCTCCTTCCTGAAGGCAGTGGAGGGAGGGAGGGAGGCCCTGCTGGTCCTTCTAGCTCAGTCTGGACACTCAGTTCCAGCCCACACCTCTGGGGACACAGAGGACTTCCAGAAAGACAGGAATTCAGCCTTTGGGTGGAGTTTGATCAAATATAGAGACCAGCCTGAAGGTGTTGGAAAGGCAGGGAAAGGGTGCATCAGGAGACAGGAACGTAGCAAGAAAAGAAGTTGGACACCAAGGAAACTCCTGCTGGTGGTCCTGCCCACGGCCTGGCGGCAGTGGCCATGGTGAACCACAGTCAGTGCTGGAGGTTGGCACGTCCTCCTGCAGGCGGTCACCCCCACGAGCGGCGGTCTGGGTGCAATCTGGCCCTGAACTACAGCAGCAGTGCTCACACCTATATCCTCTGCTATTTTACTGAAGTAACTTTTTAAAAATCCCCAACACCTCTGTAGTTTAACTTCAGTTGTCTGGGGATAGAGCACCTTCTCTGCCCTGACTGTCCTTCTGTGGGGAGGGGTCATGTCTTTCCCATGCGGTGCCCAGAGGAAACCGCTGACTTCTCAGGTTCATCTCTGCCCTAAGGAGAGAAGTGCACACTGGGGAGCAAGGCTTTGGGACCAAGCTAATAGCAGCAATATCACTAACGACCCCTGTATTAAACATTGTGCTAGACGGTTTTCACACACCATTGCTAGTCCCCCCACCAAGGTTCTATTAGCTGGGTGGACTGACTTCTGTTTTATAGCTCAGGAGCCCGAGATCATGCAGCTGGTAAGTACTGTGGCTGAGAGTCTATCTTGGTTTGTCTGACCCCAGTTCTATGCTCATTGGAATCCAAGGTCTGCTAACTGTGACTCCTATGACTTCAGGGGTCACATTAAACAGGTAACAGGGGATCACACAGTTCCAGCTGCAAGGGTCCTCGTGGCACCCCCTCCTCAGCTCTTACTCGGCTCTTACTCGGCCTGTATTTAGACTCTTCAGGGCACGGTGTGGAGCGGGCAACACTGTCTCCCCCTCCTCAGCTCTTACTCGGCTCTTACTCGGCCTGTATTTAGACTCTTCAGGGCACGGTGTGGAGCGGGCAACACTGTCTCCCCAGGACATCCGCCCACTTCAGTCATTCCCATCACACAGTGCCTGGTCATCGAACATCTCCTTCCCCTGTACGGGACAATGCTGTTCACCGGGGTGATCTCTCATTCCCTCCCTCCATTTTTCAAGGGATAGAATAAAGCCTGCCTGATGTCACAAAGAGAACAAGTGACAGAATCAAATTTGCAGCCGAGACTCTGATCTCACGTCCATGTTCTCTCTATTCTAGTCTGTTGTTGACACCCTCCTACAATACGGCCTGGAAAACCCAGGGCCTGGTTAGTCCCTGGATTTTGCCTGCTGCAGTTGGAAAGACCCATTCTGGCCTTTGGTTTTGTTCTCAGAGTAATCTCTTTCTCTGGTGTCCCCTGGGAATTCCTGTGGGTCTGTTCATTGCTCAACTTCCCCCTTTGGGTGGTTTGCAAAGGGCATCTGCGGCCAGTTCCTCGGGGCCAAGGCTCCCCTAAGAGGCCTCCAAGGCCTTCTGAGCAGCACGGAGGAGGCTGAAGGGGGCAGAAGGCAAACACAGGGTGTCGACACTTTCCTCCTCTCCCTCTCCACGCCCTCACTCTTATCAGAGAACATCTCAAAAGGCCCTGAGATCCATTTCCCGGGAACTTAGAGTGGAGTGTGGGATTGCACCACCGGGCCTGGGGTGAGGGGCAGGGACAGCTACGCAAAGCAGCTCCATCCTCACCTTGGTGAATGTGAGATTCACAAATCCGCCCTGGAAGTTCAGGAGAAGGTTGGCATTCCGGAAGCCACAATTCCCGGAGGCTTGGGTTGCATTGGGGTCGATGTTGAAGTATCGCTGAGGTGAACAAACGTAAACCAAATAGAATAGATCAGCTCCCTGAGATGTAGGGGAAAACTCCAGCTCCAGAAGCAGAGGCACAGACTAGTAAGGGAGTCTGAGACTCAGGGCTCATGGCTGTTCACTTGAGAATTTCAAGGTCCCTGAATGATACCTCACATTCCCAAACTGTCACGCTCAAAAGACTTTTCGAAGGAGTTCTCCCATGGTGAGGAGCTCCTCGGTAGATAACTTGTGGCAGGTGTGTTCCTGATAAACTGAGTGGGATTTAATTTTTGTTAGGTTACACATGCTGGAAGGCACATAAGCAAGGTTTGCTATGTGAAACACTCCTGCTTCAAACGTGGAAGTTTTACTGGAAATCATAAAAACTGTGCAGAAAAAAAAAGCACAATTTTTATGGCAATTCCTTGAGTAAATCAAATATTCTCAGCCTCATCCCCAGCCCCTCCAATCTTCTTGCTAACCTGGATTTTCCACATGAGTGTCGCAGCTGGCTGGAACCATGGAGACCATCTAGTCCGAAGCTCTCATTTCGCAGGACACTTACTGAGGCTTGGGAGTCAGCGGGTGGGGCAGGGCCAGGCTGGCACCGACTCTGAACCCACCCCAGTGCTCTGCCCGTGTTGGCTAAAAGTGAGGGGCATGCATATTTAAGTTGTTGGTGTGTGCCTTCCTCTCCCCAAGCAGGCACTGTTGTTTCTATTTTGATACATATTCTGAAACAGATACACCTTTTAATAGAGCACCTTGGAGTAAGAGGTGCTCACAGGTATGTGTTTCATTAAAAGACACAGGATGCAAGGGAATGCCTATTCTGGGCAAGGCAAACTCCGCTCAGACCTTTTTGAAGACAGTGTTACGGGCCCACGGCCCCAACTTACCGACTCTCTGTCTTGAACCGTCAGCTCTATCCCCATCTCTGCTTTGATGCAGAGCCTGCTTCCATTTAGAACCTGATAAATTCCAGTCTTGACTGATGATGGCTGAGGTGCAAGGGTGGGTCCAGGAGCCACGGTGGCGGGTGAGGCAGTTTGGGTGGCATTGTGTGCAGTGGTGGCTGTTTCTGGAGCATGGGTGGGTTGACTGGGATTCTGACTGGTTGTGCTGATGTGTGATGAGGTGGAAAAAGTTGATGGAAAGGTGGTCTGGTTACTGGGTGGGACGGTCTTCCCAGCTGTGTGGCTGACAGTCCATGGGCTGGTGCCCGTCGGATGGGCTGGGGGAGGTGTGGTGGTGGGCAGTGAAGCGGAAGCTGCACTGGGGCCGATCGTAGCCTCAGTGACTGGAGCAGCTGTGTGGGAGCTGCTGGGTGTGGCCTGGGTTGTGATTATGGTGTGGTTTGTTGGGCTGGTGGCTAGGGTGCTGTTTGCAGTTACCAAGGTGGCTAGGGTGCTGTTTGCAGTTACCAAGGTGGCTAGGGTACTGTTTGCAGTTGTTGGAGGTTGTGCTGTTGTGTGTGTAGCTGAGGTCTCAGAGTCAGATGTCGTGGCAGCTATCTGAGAGGTGACGGGACCACTGGTCGATCTTGCTGCTGTTGTTTTGTGAGGCTCTTGGTTAGTTGTTTGAAGAAAAGAAGGTTTTGCTGTGGCCTGGACAGTTGCTGCTGTCGTGGGCTGAGAAGAGTCTGTGACCTCTGGAAACCCTCTTACTTGACTGCCGTAATAAAAAATCACTGCAAATTAAGAAACAAAAGTGTTAGCATGCCCACTAAGAGCTCACGAAGCCCCTTCTCCATTCTTCATTAAAAATTAACATGCGTATTTTCAGATTGGGAGGAAATTTACAAGGATATAAGAGTTAAGTCAAGATCACTCAAGATTCTACCACAAGGCCACGATGGTACTGTTTTGGTGTAGCCATGTTTTTTACAGAGATGTGATCATACTGCACCCAGCCCCCTCATCTAGATGGGGTGTGGTCCCAGCACACCAGGTGACCGTGCTCTGAGTGATATCTAAGTGTCAATGCCTCTTCATTCCCCCATCTTTCAGTGTGAATCCCAACAGTCCCTGGAAGAGGGACCTCCTGGGTAGAGCACCGCTGTGATGGTCTGCGAGAGCTGGGACAGTGTGAATGATGCTGAGAGAGACAGAGTTGTATCTCTTGCACAAAATCATAGAATCCCAGATTCAAAAATGATCTTAAAGGTCATCTAGCCCAAACCTTAATTCGATCTGTGAATTGGACCTATGACTATTTTCCATATGTTCTTCTATGCTTAATTACCTCCAATAAGAGGAGATTCACTGCCTTTCATTTTTTTGTCTACCATCAGTTTTTCTAAATATAGACCAGTTCCTGTCATTTCCTTCCTTAACCTCTTGAGTGGCCCAGCCTTTCTCAAGTAAGAATAAAATTAAGCCATAATTGCTCTGATACACCCAGTGGGCTATCCTTCATGTTTTGGCTTATACAGGGGTAGACAAAAGTAAGTTAAATTACCAGCCATTATTACCTAAAAGATAAATGATTAGTATGGATATGAAATAAGAAGAAGAAAAAGAAAAATAATACAAATAAATAAAATAATAATTAATAAATAATAATACAAGAACAAACTGTATTTCACATACTCATAACGGTAAACCTACTTGTGCCCACCCCGCACATCAGCTCCTCAGAGAGCTCCCTGTCCTCCTTGTGCAGGCGAGCTTTCCGCCCCACGAGCCCCGCTCACGGTGTTCTATTTGTTGTCTTCACTGCACTAATCACAACTTATAATTGTACTAAGGGGTGGAATACAAATATTGAACAATAAGTCTGGCAAGACAGCATGTCTCAACAGAGTATTAGCCCTGATGAAATGTTCACTTATTGATTTATTTGCCGATTGTACCTCTCTCCCACTAGACTAAAAGCAATCCCGAGGTGGGAACTGTGTGAATTTTTTTCACCACCAGTGCCCATGCGTAGAAAGTATTCAGTGGATGTGGATTGGATGAATACATGAATGAATGGGCACATGAGGGTAATAGGGTTGGAGACCTCTAGGAGTATTGTCAGGCTGAAAAGAGTTAGTGAGTCAAAAAACAAACAAAACAAATAAAGAAAACAAAAAGAGTTGGTTTAAGTGAAAGCCTTCGTGGACCATTAAGCTGTGTGTATTATCGTCACAGGTTCTTTCTTGGGCCATCCCTTAAGGGCAGAAGGCCTCTGGTTCTTTTTCAACCCACAGTTCTACCCTGGTCTCCGTCCAGGCACACAGCATGCCAGAAAAGTGGACAAAGTGCAGATGATGTTCCTTGGGAAGTTACGATCGGGCACAGTGAGGGATGGCTTCATCTCTGCAGTGCTGTGATTTCACTGTATTTGCCCTTTGTACTGGTGCCTGCTGGAGCTGGAGCTGTCTGGTGCTGAGCGATGACTTGGGAAAACACTGGGAAAAGGCAAAGGAGAGCCCTCTATGTTGACATTTATACAGTTCTGACATTTATATTAATAAAAAAATCATCCCTAAACTCCATTACTATCTCCTTCTTTTATTCAATAATTTTTAAGTGCTTTATTTTCCCATAATAATAACAACAACAAATCCCAAGATACTGGACACTTACTATAGGTCAAGGGTCGACTTCACCAGCTCCTCTCAAAACCCTCTGGTTGGTACTATCCCGATCCCAATAGTTTCAGATGAGGAAACTCAGGTTTAGAAAATTCTATCAGGTTAATCATAATCACATAACTACTAATTTTGGAACTGAGACTCAATCCCCTGCCTGAACCAAAGCCTGCCCTTAGATTTGGGGGTGGTGGAGGTGGTGTGTGTCACTGTGAAGAGTAGTGAGAGAAGAGACAAAAGCAGAGGACAGCAGAATAGAAGGATGTCTCTCTAGGGACCCCAATTCACCAAGCCTTCATATTGGGGGTTCTTGGTGACACTTTAAAAGGCTCATGTGCTGAAATAGTGATTATTTTCCAGAAAAGTTCTAACTTTAAGCCCAGTAGTAACACATAAATAATTTCTGCACAGCCCTGGATGGTGTGGCTTAGTGAGTTGGGCATCATTCTGCAAACCAAAAGGTCGCTGGTTCGATTCCCACTCACGGCATTTGCCTGGGTTGCAGGCCAGGTTCTTGGTTGGTTGGTTGGTTGCGTGTGAGAGGCAACCAACCACTGTTTCTTTCCCTCTCCTTCTCCCTCCCGTTCCCTCTCTCTAAAAAATAAATACAATCTTTTTTAAAAAATGATTTCTGCACTGCTGCAGAAATAGCATTATTACCTTTTTAATTTTTAAAAAAGATTGTATTTATTTTTAGAGAGAAGTGATGGGAGGGAGAGAGAGAGGGGGAGAAACATTGATTGGTTACCTCTCACATGCCTCTCACTGGGGAATCAGCCTGCAACCCAGGCATGTGCACTGACTAGGAATTGAACTGGTGACCTTTTGGTTTGCAGGATAATGCCCAACTCACTAAGCCACACCAGTCAGGGCCACAAAGAAATTAGTAATGACATTACATTACTTGGAACTACTATTAAAGAATCATTTTGGTATCTGAATGTTCATTTGGATAACTGAAATGGATGACACTCAATAGTTGTGGGTTTTATGGGCTGTAGGTTTACTTTGTAATGTTTACCGACTCACTGTATGTGGAAATCTTATGCCCACATTGTAGAGCTTAGAGCAAGATTTTTCCTTTTGAGATTGTTATGAAGATTGACAGTTGAAGTTTTATTTTTACAATTCATTTGGGCTAAACCTGAGTTGCTGTTTCCTCAGTCGAAAACCCAACAGGAACCCCATTAAGTTCATACTATTACTATGAAAAAAGAGAATTTACTCCCAAATGTGGTTTTCAGGAATATCTTGTAGTAAAAAGCAAAGATTGCTGCAGAGAACTCTGGGAGGCTGAAAACTACCTGTCTTTTGTTCCCTTAGGGAGATCATTAGGTGTTTGATAAAATCCCATTGTGTACAGCTTGTGCTTCTGAACTAAAGCAAATCTTCTCAACTGAGTAGCACACTCTTTAAAAGGGGAGCCCTCCTCACATGCCATTACAGCTCCTCTCTCAGTAACGGTGAAGCGTGCACATGAAGCAGGGAGCACAGGGCTCATTCACGAAGGCACAGAATCCCCAGCAGGACAAGAAGCCCCGTGGTGGACATCATGGTGCACTTGGTGAGGAAACTGTATTGCAGGGTGGCTGGGGTGTTAGCGGTCATGGCGTCTTGGTGTATTTGCGACTTTGGCTGGGTGACAGAAGGCTGGGCCGGCAGGTGGCTGAACCGACAGTGACTGAAAGTGTCTGAGTGTGTTAGAGACAGAACCAGTCTGGGACATGTCATCTTCATGTTCCTCTTCTTCTCCTCTCTGGCCCCTCCCTTCCTGTCCCACCTCTCTGGAGGAGAGTGGGCTGTAAAAGGTTGGCAGGTGATTAGACGGGAACATGACAGAGGTAGGTATGCACTGCATTGTAATACATCCCAGAAAGTTCATATATTTGTTAGGTACTCAATGGAAATGATACTCTCAGAAATACTCTATTTTACTATATGCATATATATAATCATATATATAGTAAATATATATGTGCATATATATTCACACATATATGACTAATCTTTGTCAAAATTGGGTCATAGTTTTTATATGAAACCTATGGTCCCACAGAGGTCAAAGTTCACTGGTCTGAGACCCACAAAGAGGCCAGTGGGCAGAAGCAAGGGCAGGGCATAGCTCAGAATCCGTCTTGACCCTTCTCTACTAAAAAAATAAAAAACCAAAAACCATAGCCCTGGAGTCCACACACGGATTTGCCAGGCTCCCCGCCCCAGCATCTCTTCTCCAGAACTCGGGAGACTCAGCGAACCAGTACCCCAGGGCCTGGGCCCAGCGCTGGGACTCCTCGGGAGGACGAGCTGCAGGAAGAGGCACGAGAAGGTTTTGGTTCCCCTACAACCTGCAGCAGGAGCCCAGAGACGACTCCTCGGCCAAACCGGGGCAAACCAGTGACCACACCACGGTGTCTTTTCTAGGTGCTTCCCGGACAATCAGTCCTTCCCTGACGGCCTTCGTTCGGTGTCCCTGCCACTCCCAGTGCGGCACAGAAAGGTAGAAGCCTCCTGGGAGCCAAGCTTCATGCCAGGCACTGGGGGGAAGTCTCTGTTCTCAGGGGCTCAGAGCCACGTGAGTCAGACACACAAATGGACTACACTCCTCAGTGTGACAGGCATTGTCACGGAAGCAGGCCCTGCGTGCTGCGGCATGGTGTGGGTAATCCTACACAAGGAGAATTCTTCCGACAGACAAGAAAGTAAATGGTCTCCTGGGTAGGAGGAAGCGTTTGTGCAAAGGCACAGAGGCTTCAGAGTCTGGTGTGTTTGGAGAGTAACAGAGGGGTCAGCATGAGGGGAACACAAGGACGGTGTGAGGAAGGGGGGAGCAGGAAGCAGGCCTGGCAGGCCTTGGAGGCTGTGCTGCGTCTGCAGAGCTCGAAGGCACACAGATGGGAGTACAAGGGGCACTGTGGCCACATCCCGGATGGGGAACTGTGTGTAGCCCCAGAGCACTTTCTTTGGCAGGTGCCCAGGTGCCCAGGCAACAGAAGCCTCCCCAGCTGGGTGCAGCAGGAAGACAGTTTCTGGACGTGTGGCGGGCGGGGGTGGGCCCTTAGCACAGCTAGGCTCACAATGTCACAGTTTAACCATCAACTTTCTAGCAAAAACATATAAATCTTACCTCTGTTAGTTTCCTGTGGGACGTGCGTGAGATTCAAAGAGAGCTCCCAGTCAGAAGGTGGCAGAGACTGCTGGACGACAACTCCAAAACCCAGTCTCCCCTGTTCCCTTAGTAACAGAACTGGTTTAAGCTGAGCACCTGCTGCCTGGCATAAAGAACCTTATGTCCAAGTCTCCTTTCTAGCTGGGTGGGAACAAGTGACTGAATTTGAGCCAAGGCAGTAGGAGAAGTAGGGTTTTACAGGCCTTCTGGGAAGGCTGCTGGAAGGGAGCTCAATCACCTGTGTCGCTTCTCTATGGCCAGTCTGTTTTTCTCCTTTAACCAGCTTGCAACTCATGTGTGATGGCTGGAGCTCCAGCAGACATTAGGAACCAGGAGGAGACCCTTTAGGGCAGAAGTCACACATAGGATGGGGGGGCCCACGAAAATGAGCCCCTACACCAGACCTGGTCTGAATTCCTCTGGTCTTGTTTTCACATGAGCGAGAAATGAACATTTCCCTTGCCTAATTAATATTATTTGGAGCTTGTCTCTTATGTGCAGGTGAGACTAAACTTTGACTGATACAAACTGAAATCCCCTCATTTTATTGGAAAGAAATTTGAGGCCAGGCAAGCAAAGTGCCTGGATAACCATCACACAGCTCGTTTACCTAGAAGCTGTGTCTCTCGTAGCAAAGCATCTAATGGTCGTCCCATCTCCAACTCGGCAAGTGCTTCTGGAACCTATGCGTGCAGGTGCAGCAGTGCGGAGCGTGGACTGTGAAGCCTGACCCTCGGGGTGCATGTCTCACGGCTGCCCCTGGCTGGCTCAGTGACTATGAGCAATTCCCTGAGCAGCCTCCGTCCCCTCGTGCGGAAAACAGGGCACCTTCCCACGCTTCACTCACTCAGTGTGCCTCTGAGAATTTGCAGCATTTCCTCTCAACCTGTACTTGCGTTTACTGAGCCCTCGTTGCCTTCCTGAATCTGTCAGTCATCTGTCAGCCATCGAATGGTCACGGAGGGTGCCTGCTGGACTGAGATCTTTTGCTTTACTAGCTTGCCCTCCTAAATGAAATGATGACTTCCCCTTTTGCCTTCAGAAGAATGTGAAACTCTAATTCTGAACATGTGGCACAAGAATGAACAGCCAGGAACAGGGCAGCTGGCCCAGCCCTTCACCCGACTTCCATCACAATCCATGTTACACCCCATACCTCTGGGTCCCCCGTCTGAGCATGTGAGCCGGGCTGTGTGGACAGAGCTAGGCCCCTCACAGGTTCGATTCAGGATTCAGCGTTCTAGGAGGAAGTGTGAATTAACCAGCACAGCTGGTGGCAGCACACGGGAGGACTCAGTGGCTTAGAGAGAAAATGCTCATGGTGAAAGCAGGGGTTGGGGACGTAATGCAGGCACGAAAAGCTCAGTTTCGCTGACAGCCTCTCTGATCTGAAGTATAATGGTAATATTTTAAAATCTCTGATGTCCTTCCTGGCTGGTAACTTTTTGAAATGGCACAGTTTTTCAGACCACATCTCACTCGTCTTCACGATTCCCTGTATACATCATATAAACGCAGCATTTCCATTTGAGAAAAAGGGAAAACCAAGACCTGAGGTGCTTTTCCTAGATCATGTGGCAAGAGCCCCAAGTCCAAGTCCAGGCTCCATTCACCCTTTTCTTAAGTAGAAGTAACCTCTGCAAACTCTCCCTGAGAAGGTGCCCAGATCCCATTTGCGAACCAGGGCCAGAGTCGCTGTCTTCTGGGGTTGACACCTACTCTGCCTAACTCACAGGAAGCAAGTCCACGCTGTTACAGCCCTTGAAACCAATGAAGTGCGTCCCCGTGTGTAAGGTAACAGCAAGGAGCCGGCTCACAAGCCAAACACCCGCGGTAACTGAAGCTGCGATAGCTGTCTCCTGTCTGTCCTGCCTCGCCTTCATCAGTGGCACCAAAGTGCATTGAGGTTTAATAGGACCAGGCATGGCAGGTCACTATGCAAAGTCACACGTATCACTCACCGGCCAGGAACATGAAGAGCATCATCGCTGGAGAGAGCTGCCAGGACATGACTGGGGAGTCAGGGGGAGCCACGGACTTGCCAGGGGCCCACGCTGCTGCTGTGCGGCTGACACGCTTGAGCACAGCTGGGTCTTCTGACCTGCTGGAGACTAATTCCAGGGCAGGTCCCTCCTTCACTTGTGGCGGAGAAACCGAATCATTTACATAATGAGAAGTAGCTGGAAGGCCCTCCCCAAGAGGTGCGCTGCCTGGGCAGGGAAACCACAAGTGGCCCTCGGGAGAGAGCAGGCACTTTCATCTTTGCCTTTCTTGTTTGTGAGGGTGGGGGATGGGGGATGAGGGGAAGGACCCCCACCTTCCACAGCCTAGAGGGCATCTGAGATTACTTCTCCACGAGTGGTGGGTCCGTGGCAGCTCCAGCCCCTTCTCTCATAAGTTAGATCTCCATTTCCCCCTAAAATCTTGGGTACGTTTCTATAAACCCAGAGACTCTTCTCAGCCTGGAGACAAACAGCCCCTCAGTCCTGAACCCTGGGTCATGAGGGTGGGCAGAAACCTTTTTTTTTTAAAGATTTATTTTTTAGGCCCTGGCTGGCGTAGCTCAGTGGATTGAGCATGGGCTGTGAACCAAAATGTCGCAGGTTCGATTCCCAGTCAGGGCACATGCCTGGGTTGCAGGCCATGACCCCCAGCAACTGCACATTGATGTTTCTCTCTCTCTCTCTCTTTCCCTCCCCTCCCTCTCTAAAAATAAATAAAAGTAAACTCTTAAAAAAAAAGATTTATTTTTTAGACAGAGGGGAAGGGAGAGAGAAAGAGGGAGGAAAACATCAATGTGTGGTTGCCTTGAGCCCTGCACCGGGGAACCTGGCCTGCAACCCAGGCATGTGCCCTGACTGGGAATGAACCAGTGACCCTTTGGTTCTCAGGCCAGCACTCAGTCCACTGAGCCACACCAGCCAGGACAGGTGGGCAGGAATCTTAAAACACAACTGCTAGAGCACTGTCTGTCTCTGTGTGCACTCTCAAAGTGTCTGAGGCAGCCCTGCTGGAGCCCAGTGGCCACCCGAGGAACCCCCACCTTGTGAGGTTCAGGAGGCATGTGAACTTGGAGTTGGGAAGATCTGGGTTTGAATCTGGCCCTTCCAACTCGCCAGCCCTATAACCATGATAACTTTTCTGTGCCGCAGTTTCTTCTGCTGTCTGATGCAGAATATAATGCCTACTCCCAGGTGGTTTTACAAACCAAGAGTTCCTAGAATGCAAAAAATACTCAATATCTTTGAAAGGCAACTTTTTCATGTCATATATCCTTCCTCTATTAATCAGACAAAACAATGGGGGTCTATCTCTCAGGCCTACGAGTCTATTTCTCTTTGCAGTTCTGTGTTTGCTCTGTGTGTTCTGATACTGATGTCCTGCTACTGATGTGTGAACAGTGAGGGCTGGGGTGTCCTCTTGATGGGTCAACCACTTCATCATTTTCAAATCTTCTTCATTTTCAGTCATGTTCTTTGTTCTGAGACCCACTTTGTTTTACATTAACACCATTATTCTGGCTTTCTTTTGATGCGTGTTAGCATAGGATATCTTTTTTCATCCGTTTAACCTATTTGTCTTTATATTTAGAGCAGGTTTCTTATAGGCCACAGGGTAATCTTTTATTTTCATATCCAATTTGACAATCACTCCCTTTTAACTGGGGTGTTGAGACCATATAATTATTGATATGATTATATGTCTACCTACTATCTTGGTGATTGTTTTCTATTTTTCTTGACCAACTCTTAGATTACTGAAGTTTTTAAAATTCTATTTTATCTCATTTGTTGGCTTATCACTCGTAACCCTGTCATGTTATTTCCCCATTTGCTTTAGGGTGTACAGTATACACCTTTAAGGTGTCACAGCACACTGTCTGGTGATGCTGCCCCGGCTCACACAGGACACGAGAACCCACAGCTTCACTTCAGCTTCTTCCCTCCTCGCCTCTGTGCTGCTGTTGTCCACATGTTAACTGTACATGTTGTAAACTCCACAACATACAGATTTTTTAAAAGTCAGTTCTTTTTTGATGTGGAGGTTAGATCTGTATTAGTTTTGAACAATTATTTGGGAGCATTGTCATGATTGTTTTGAAGAAATAACAAATATCTATAAAATATGAGATTCTGTACACAATTTTGAGATCTTTTGCTGAGACCAAAATGAACAAATAAACCACAACATATGTTCTACACCTCAAAAATTAAATAAATCCCTAAGTTTCAACTTCCACTGAAATATTTATTTAGTTGGTGATATCTTACAGAAATAAATAAAGGCAGTTTTTCCTCTAATACAGATAGGTGTATGTGTGTGCATATACATGAGTTTCCAAAATTGAAGCACATCAAAGTGTTTTCCCTACAACTTCAGCGCGAAAGGCATCCATAGGGAACAAACAGACATGCTGAAATACGCTTATTATTAATTATAACTGTGGGCTTTCTGGATCTCAGAAAGACAGATGGGTTAGAGAAAGATCATTGTCTTTTAATTTATCTTTTAACGGGATGTAAACAAGGGGACAACTTTTCTACCTACGTGATTACCATTTCTGGCAGCCTTCGTTCCTTTGCGCAGATGCATAGGTTTGCTGTGGCGACAGTCACCCAGAATACAACACTCAGATTCCTCACGTGCTACCTGGGTTTGGGGCATGGGCTTGTGTGTCCAAATCTGTTTCTTCAGTCCCTGCTCCCCCCTCAGCGTGAGGGTCTACCCGCTGCGTGTTGGAAAGCCCCTCCGTGCACTGGAGCAACGCTCCGGCGTTACTCATTAGTCAGAGTTGCTACTGAGCCTGCGTGTGTCTCAGTTACGCAGGTGCTGTGTCCTGGGTCTTTTGGGGTGTCACCTTCAGTTTCTGTTCCTCCCCCAGCAGTAGGTCTGGACCCAGCTCAGATTCCTGCCCTTCACCCAGGACCAGGGGTTTGCTTTTAATTCTGTTACCTGTCCCCAGCTGGGCTGGTTTTACTAGATCCCTAGGGATTTAAGTATTTATTGCTTTCCTTCAACAGTTGGCTCCACTTTTGTTCTGTCAGAGAGATGAGGCACTAGGACCTGAGTTGTTTCAGGCCTTTCCTGTATCGACCAATACTCCCCTCCCCCAGGTCTGTGCCAGAGAAGATGTTTTCTCTTGACTGCTAATCTCTGTGAGTGCCCAAAGAGATCACTGGAGAAGTCTGCACAAGTGCATACAAATGTCCCTATATCTGTGGTCCCCAGGGATTCTATTTTCTCTTGCAAGCCCACCCACACTGGGCCAGTAACAATTTTAGCTGAATTCTCCCTGCCAGCGGACAGCACTGCTTGCCCGGATAAGCATGTGTTTGAGTCCCTCCTCACTTGGTAGGTGCCTACTTGTTTTTTATTAGATTTCTGGTGAGATGTCACCTTGTGAACTCAGCTCTCTCATGAGTTCAAGAAAAGTTGTGAATTTGCATATTTTCCAGATTTTTTTAAATCTTGCAAGTATGGGGTTAGTACTCTTTCTAGCTTTCTACATCTCAAGCAGAAGACATTATTTTTAACAGCTGCATAGAGTTTCATTGTCTGCCAGTACAATACTGTATTAACCAGCTTTTCATTATTTAACATACTTGTTATCTATTGTTGCCTAACAAATGACCCCAAAACTCATCAGCTTAAAACAACAAACATTTATTATCTTATGGTCCTCTGGTAATGAGTTCATAGACATCTTAGCTGGGTTCTTCTGGTTCTGGGTCTCTCATGTGGTTTGAACCAAGAAATCAGCTGGAACAGAAGCCACCTGAAGGCTTCACTGGGGCTGGAGAATCTGCGTCCAACGTGGCTCATTCACGTGCTGCTGGCAAGAGGCTTCAGGTCTCGCATGTGGGTCTTGTCACCGGGCTGCTTCAGTGTCTTCTCAACATGGTAGCTGGCGTCCCACGGTGAGTAACCCAAGAGACAGAACAAGAAAGAAGACAAGATGCTTTTTATAAGCTAATCTTGAAAGTCTATTACCGTCACGTCCACCAAATTGTTTCTTAGTGTCATCACTACAGCCCACACTCGAAGGGAGCAGGACCAGTCTGAGGATAACCTTTACCGCTACTGGTACAGAAAATGGGGTTGTTCCCCATTTTCTGTTACTGGCTTTCCCATTAAAAGTAATGTTATAATGAACACCTGTATATGTCTATATATCTTTGTTCATTTGTGTGGCATTATAATAAATTCCTAGACATGGAATTGCTGGATCAAATCATATACATATTTAAACTTGACAGCTATTGCAAATTGTCTTCTAAAACTCTAGTTCTTACACTCTCACCAAAAGTGCATGAGAGTGCTGGTTCTCCTACAGTCTATCCTATACTGGGTATCATCAAAGTTTTAAATGTTGGATGGTCTGATAATAAAAAATGATTATCTCATTGTTTTGCTTTTTTAAATATATTTATTGGATTTTGGATTTTGAATTTAATTTTTTAAAAACATTTTATTTATTTAGTTTTCGAGAGAGGGGAAGAAAGGAAGAAAGAAAAGGAGAGACACATCGATGTGCAAGAGAAACATCAGTTGGTTGCCTCTCACAGGTCCTGTCTCCGACTGGGGACCTGGCCCTCAACCCAGGGATGTGCCCTGACTGAGAACTGAACTGGCAACCCTTTGGTTTGCAGGAGGATGCCCGACCCATTGAGCTACACCAGTCAGGGCTGTCCCATAAATCTTGAAAATGTATTTATGATTTGACTTTTATTTTTCCTACACAAAAGTTTTTGCCTTTTACATTACCTAATTAATCAAGATTTTCTTTTGTAGCTTCTTGTTATAGTTTTTGCCTGGGAAGACTTTACCTTATTCAAAATTACTTTTTAAATGTTTTGACTTTCAGGGATCCCTTAAGTCTTGAACAATATGAACTATTTTAAGGACTGAGATCAACATTATTTCTCCACATTGTTATTCAGGGATCCGAGCACCACTTTCATACATAATTTATCTTTTTGTTGTTGTTCAGAACTAATCTGAAATGCCTCTTTTCATACTGTGAGTTCTGAGATGTATTTGGGTCCATTTCAAGATTTTTATACTCTGTTCCACCTATGATTGCTTACTTTTGTAGTACAGTTAAGTCTCACTTAATGTTCGAGATAGGTTCTTGGAAACTGCAACTTTAAGTGAAATGACATGTGACAAAACCAATTTTCCCCTAAGCTGATTGATACAGACGAGAGTTAGGTTCCTATACCATATCTCTGGTTCCCAAAACTACACCAAACTTCTAAATAAAGACCCCAAACACTTCTAATATTAAGCATTAAAGTAAATGTGAACTATACAAACACCTAAGAAAGATGAAGAAAAACCAGGAAGATTATTATTTTCCCAACCTGCTTTTTCAGTTCGGGGTTGGGGGGCAGCTGGAACCTATCCTGGCAGCTCAGGGTGCAAGGCAGGAGCCAGCCCTAGACAGGATGCCCTTCCATCACCACAGGGCACACTCACACTCACACCTGCTCAACTGGGGCCATTTTGACACATCGTCTCACGTGCATGTCTTTGGGATGTGGGAGGAAACCAGACGCACACATGGCGAGAACATACAAATTCCATACAGAATGTGGCCCCAGCCAGGAATCGACTTTTTGTATTTTCATTAACATCAGTGAAACAACATTGAATGAAACAACATTTGAAGTCTTGCTGTATGTGTTTTCTGGCAAATTAAAATATGATATAAACCTACAGTTTTTATCAGCTAAAGTAGCCTATATGGCTACTTTAATAGCCATATTCAAAAGTTTATCCATAAATAAGTGCTGGCAGATAAAAAATGCAATTGATATATTTATCTATCCTCATCTGAGGGCATTTTTTTCATTGCTGCTTTTAGAGAGAGAGGAAGGAAGAGAAGAAGAGAGAGAGAGAAACATCGATGAGAGAGACCATCATGGATTGGTTGCCTGTGGTACATGCCCAGGCCGGGGATCGCATGTTCCTGGGCTGGGGATCAAACCCACAACCTACCTGTGCACCCTGACTGGGAATCAAACCCACAACCTTTCAATTACCGGATGATGCTCCAATCAACTGAGCCACACTGGCCAGAGCAATGAAATTGATACTTTATAGAGAATCAGTAAAAATGTGTTTTACAAAGTCCTCTGTTGTCATCTGACAATAAACTGGGATCTCAAGAGGTGCTCTGCACATGTTGAAGGAGTAAGCAATGGTAGCGTGGTAATTAGAGTCCCAGCCTAGAAGCTAGGGGCCTGGATTCTAGTCCCTGTGCTGCTGCAGGCTGGCTGGGCGACACTGACTCACAGTAACACAATCGCAGTTGGACAATGGTCTCCTAGCTACACTCCCAACCCCTCTTGTGGCTGGTTGTGGCCACACAACAAGGCTTTCACTAAAGGAGTTGAAGGTGTTGTGTGCCATTTGCAGGTGGGCCTCCCAACACTGCACGTGCATCCTGCCCAGTTCTTTCCCCTCCTGTGAGCTGGAAATCTGAGTTCATAAACTTGCTTTCGACTCAGTAGACAAGGACAATGTCCCAGGGATAGTGGAAAACCAGCAGGAACTGGGACCCCAAATGACACAAGCAGCCTGCTTATCCAACCAGAGCTGTCTTGTGAGACAAAGTCACTACATTGTTGGATCTTTTTGTTACAACAGCTTAAGCTTTCCCTTTACCAATACAAAAGAAAAGGGTTCAGATAGGTTTAGGAAATGGTGAGTTTAACAAAAGTATACACACTTCCTTTCTGCAAGAGTCCCCAGATCCTTTAATCTAATTGGAATCAACCAAGAGAGGAACAGAATATGTAGTGTTTGTAAAATGTGTTTATTACCAGATAATTTTGTCGTCATTGTGGCATTAACTCATTGAACTCTTATACTCTTCTGCCTGTTCTGAAAAACACACTCTGGGAAATGGCGGTTTGGAGGATCTCTCATATTTCTGATTAGTTCCTATCGCAAGCCTGGCATTTCAGGGGACTGAGTGCCGCCAGAGTTACTGAGCCAGGGCAGCTAAGTGTGACCCTTCAGCGCAGCGGCCAGCCGCCTTCCTACGGCACAGCAACGTGTTGGAATGAGGCCCTCTAGTGGGCAACGGGCAACATCATGAAGCCATGGGTGATGGAGCAAGTTGTGAAAGAAGGCTGGGGGACTTTATCTGATGGCTTTGGCTGCTTTTCCGTTTACTCGTTTACTCGAATGGAAACAGGACACAGATTTCACTCCCGGAAGAGCCGCCTCTCCCTCTCCTTTTTTTAAGAAGCCTAAAACATTCACAACGGTTTCCTGAGTGAGCAGTGTGTCCAGGCCCCAGGGCAGTGGGTGCAGGGTCTGCTGCAGATCTACTGTGTATCTGGCGTGGCTTTATGAGAATCACTCCACGGTTCCCACCCCACCCCTCAGTCCACCAGAGCTCAGTGTGAGTCTGATGTCACGAGCCCAGTCTTCTCCCAGAGGACAGCTGCAAGCAGAGCAGTAATGCGGTCCTGGACAGGGAGGCCGGAGTGGGAGGTCAGAGTGGTCTCCCTCAGGGTGGGAGGGCAACCAGGCCGCTGGGAAGGCGGGTCCGCGGGCTCCAAGCTCCCTCCACTGCCCTCAGTCTAGGGGTGGGCGCAGCCTCTGTACCCACGGCCCCCTCTCCCCAGGCCTGGGGCCATCTCCTGCTGAGCCCAAGGGGCGTAGCTTCCTGGAAGGGTGTAAGTTCTCCGGGTAGGGGTCCTTGGGCAACCTCCCTTCGCCCTCCCACTGCTTCTGTCTGGACAGGAGTCTCCCCAGCAGGGGTGAGCAAGCCGGTGGACCCCTGCAATGCTCTCCTCAGTTTGTCTACTGCCCTGAACTTCCAAGAAGAAAGTCAGAGGAGCATTGGCTAACGAAACGAATTGGCTTACTTTTCTTTCCTTGTTCACACTCACGTGTCCTTCTCATCATCACCTTCTTTTTCTCCCTGGATGCTTCCTCGTGTGTCCAGAACAGACGTGGCAGCACAGGCATCATAACTGTCATCCAACTGGAAAAGTCCCGAGAGCTGGAAGGGAGAGGGCTGCGGGGTACCCTCAGTGTCCCCCAGGATGGCCCACTCCGGGGTTCCTTCTGACAGGGCGGGGGCAGGGCCTGGGCCCAGCTCTCCCTCGGGGCCACTCCAGGTCCCTGCAGCAGTCCCTTCACTACCGCCTGCACCCAGAACCTGGTGGCGTGGGGGCGTGCTGGGCGGGAGGGTCTGAGCAGTGACCTCTGCTCCCTGGATTCCGCCAGGTCCTCATGGGTGAGAATCCTGGAAGGGACGGCCAGGGCGGGTGAGAGAGAAAGAGGAGGCCGGGGAAGCTGAAGAACAGGAATGAGGGAGAATGGGGAAGAGGTAAGGAGGAAATAACTTACACCCAGAGCGCTGCCCTCCTTCTGCATATCCTCTGTCCCTTCACTACCGACCATCTCCGTGGAAATAGGAGCCTTGAGGGAGCAGCCTGGTGGAAAGTGGGGGAGAATCTACCTGGGTGGGCTGTTGAGGAGAGGGGTGGGCGAGGCCTGGCTGCCAGTGCGCAGCAGAGCCTGTCCCCAGGAGCCCTTTCTCTCCACCTCTCATTCCTACTCTCCCAGGACCCAAACGCTTGACCTGAGGGGTGAGAGGGTGGGTCCCTGATCTCTGGGTTCCCCTTTACCTGCTCTGAAACCCTGCAGCTGTGGCTGAGAAGTCGTGGCCACATGCTGTTCGTGGCCCTACTTCCTGTCCTCCCAGAAAAAAAAAACTCTTTTTCTGCTGGACCAGCTTCCTACCCTCTCCCTTTCTCTCCCCCGTTTCTCTCCCCTGTTTCTCTCCCCCATGCGACCCCTCTCCCATTTCCTTGGCAGTTTCTGCCAAACGTCACCGCACTCCCCACCCAGAGATCAGAGGAACCAGGGCGCCCTGCCTCTCTCCAGTGAGCAGATTAATGACCCAAGTAGTCACCACGGTGCACAGGGCACGTGCTCAGGGCTGTTAGACACAGTGGGGAGCAGCAACCCCACAGATACTGAGGCTGCTCTGTGCCTGGGCAGGGGCATACCTGCTTAAGGGCCTTAGACCCATTTTGCAGGTGAGGAAACTGAGATGGGAGAGAGATAATCACTGGGACAGATTTCCATGGCCTTGAAGCACTGCGGCTGGACTCCACAACATTCCTGCTCTTTACCCCACACTCTAACCTGTGGTCTCTGCCCCATGCTGCTTGCTGCTCACAAGGCAGGTTAGGGAGGCAGCAGAGACGTCTTCATGGGGAACTCGGGCTGAAAATTTTTAATGTTTAAATTACAGTTAATAAACTTAGCAATTATTGCACGTAGAAAGCTATGGTTCCAGGAACTGGAACTTACGACTGGACCCATCCCGACTCCAGGAGACCCACAAGTAATTCGACCTTTGTGCCCCAGGAAGGAGGCAAGCGATCTGGATGGTATCTGAGCCACCGCACTCCAAGGAGGGAATATCAGCACCCAGGATACAGACAAAGAATCCCCGGGCAGCAGAAGAAAGGATGCTGGAGAACTGTCCGACTGCCACTTTTGTCTGATTAGCCTTTTCCCTGAATTCCAAACCCCTCTCCTGCACTTTCCTTCTCCTTCTAAAAGGGGTGGTTTGAGATGAGATGGAAGACGGTCTGTCAGGGTACATGACTCCCCGTCTTCTCAGACTGCCGGCCATCTGAACAAGGTGCCCATAAAGACTCCATCCTCGTCCCTGCTCATCAGTTCTGGCAGCACGAACACCGACTTTTCTGGCTTCAATCCCATGTGGCAGCCCCAAGTGGAGTGGAGTGTCAGCCTAGGGAGCCATCCCTTGGGAATCTGAAGGCTGGAGTGTTTCGGTTTGGTGAGAATTCAGGGGGAGGGCTCCAGGCATGGTGAGGGAGGGAATTCTGGGCAGAGTGATGGCCTTGGAGGGGAGCAGCAGGAACCTGCGGTTGGGCATACAGTGGGGGCTCATTTATCTTGGGGATCAACAGCCCGGGGTTCACTGGGAAGTCCCCAACCTGCTGTCTACAGTGCCCCCTAGTCTGTGTGCGGGTCCCGGGGGACCCTCCCCAGAGCAGGTCAGGGGTGCTGGGGGAGCAGCACAGGAGCAGCCGGCCAGCCCCCTCCTACAGGCTTCCAGAAACCCTGCTTTACTTTTTGGTCCCAGGACGCGGTGGGGGGAGGCAGTTGAGGGTAGAGAAGAAACTGGCTCAGGGAGGTGCCTCCCACCACCCTTCTCCGTATGTGACTCGGGGGCATCAGCTGTGATCCCTAGAGACGCCTCTTTAGGGGGATCATCCATCCCAGGACCCCTATGCCCGGAGCGGACAGTGAGCACGAGGAATGGTGGTCCTGCAGAAAGGCTGTGGGGAAGTTGGGAACAGCCAGGCCTTTGGCCGCCCCCTCCCCTGGGTCTCCAGGGTCCGTGGCTTCAGTGCCTCAGACAGTGCGGGTTCTGGAGACCAGAGAGCCACCCGCTAGGAGGATGGGGTGGGGGTTCTTGCTTCCATCGGCCATAGCACAGCCACAGCCTGGGGTGGGCAGGGCTGGAGGGAACTCGGGAACTGAAAGACCTGACAAGTTCCAGCCGCTCCACAGTGCACCCGAAGGGAGACGCTAATTTTACATCCCAACACAATGCACACACAAGTATATTAATAAAATTAAAACACAAGGTTATGGGACCAAAAGTACCCTCACAGTGTGTGATGTCTATTCTATTCTATTGTATTCTATTCCATCATTTGATTCTGTTCTACTGTGTTGTATTCTATTCCGTCGTGCTCTGGGAGACAGAGGAGGGAAGGGGGCTGTGTGGGGGGCGCCCACCATCACGTCACGAGACCCTTCCTGAGGGAGAGTTTCTTCTGAGACAAACTGCTGCCGCTTCTGGTGTGCCCTCGGGTGTCTCCCCCGAGAGCCCTGGGCTCTTGGCAGCACCGACAATGCCCTGCTCACCTGGCATCTCCCACCCCCACCCACCCGTGCCCTGGCTCCTATTCTGAGAGCTGGCAAACCTTGGAGAAAGTCCCTCAGTCAGAGGCTCTGTTTCACAGGAGCTGAACGTGCAGCTCACGGGCTGCCTTTGGCTGTCCCTGTGTCACGTCCACATTTAGTCCCCTCCTCCTGGATTCACTGGCCACGGGCTCTGTGGTGCTGAGGGTCTTAGGTAGCAAGTGTTCGGTCCTACAGGGGTGGCAGCCCTGAGGGGCCCCGAGTCTCGGGCACAAGGTCTGGCAGGTCACGGGCACTCGGGTGAACAGATGAGAAACCCATTGAAGGGGCTTTGCTGTTGGTCAGACCTGCGTGCGGCCCTGACCGTGCTAACACTCGCTGGCTGTGCGGTCCTGGGTGAGCCACTTCGCTCCTCTGAGCATCCGTGTCCTTGTCTCTGAACCGGGGGTAATAATTTCTGTTTTGCAAAAATGTTTATAAATATCTGGTACATCACAGGAATTTAATAAATAACACTGTTGTGGTTATTGTTAATAGTAATTACAATAATATTAAAGAGAAATTCTCAGAATAGCTCTGGGTACTCCAAGAGTACTCTTATTACTCACATTTGGGAGAAGTTTGTCTGTCATTGTCTTCATCCTCACAAACATCTGGGGGAGGGAACAAGTTATAAAGGTCACAAATAAACGGCATTAAAAGGAATCACAGAGTGAACACACACATACACACACACACACCAGAAAAATCAAATCAATTACATAGGCCCTTGACAAATGTTCAATTTGATTACAGCATGTTTTAGGTGATGGTTGCATTCTTAGAAAACGAGCAGAATGGTAGCAAGGTCCCGAAGAGTGTTGGGAAGACACAGCCTGCGTCTCAGGGGAGCTTCCAGTCCATGCATCAGAATGAGCATACAGAGTATCGACGGAGAAGGACAAGAGCAATGGGAAAGGTGGGCCGTGCAAACTCGTGCTGGTAAGACTGGGGTGGATGCTCTCCCCTCAGTGGACCATCTTTGTAGCACCCAGCACCTAAATTCTAAATAGTGTGGGAAATTTAGTTTTAGCACTTAATATTTAGAATTATAATCATTTATTTTGTTTAAACTATTGAATGACATTTATTAGTAAATAAACTCATTAGTTTAAGTTATCCTCATCAGAATACGTGTTTTTGGCAAATCACAGACTTGGAAGATAAAAACGTGGCTTTTCCCTTGCTATGCACTAGATGGCGCAAAGGGACCACTGTAGATGGACCTAGTTCATTGGTAGCTCCTGTGCGGTGGATTTCAAATGGGCACACTGCTGGGCTGGCCAAAAAGTCTGTATAGTTTTTTCTGTAGAATAAAAGACACATTTTTCGTTTTCACCAATAACTTTGTTGATTTGGGTATTTTGAGTATGTCAGCTATCTTCCACGTGGTATAATGTTGATGGTTTCAATTAATGTTTCTAGTTGATCACTATCAACTTCAACTGGTCTACCCCACTGTGGAGCATTATCCAGCATGAAATCTCCAGCACAAAACCTCCCAACTGAAACTTACGACACATTCGATCAGTCACAGCACCCTCTCCATACACTGCACAATTTTTTTTTTGCATTTCAGTTGTGTTTTCACCTTTCCTGAAATAATAAAGTATAACGTGCTGAAGATGTTGCGTATTTTCTTCCATCTTCAATATTAAAGTGGCTACACAAAAATTCACTAATTTTGATGAAGTTGTTATTTTTTTAAATATATTTCATTGATTATACTATTACAGTTGCCCCATCTTCCCCCCTTCACTCCCCTCCCCACTGCACTCCCTCTTCTACCCACATCCCCCGCTTTAGTTCATGTCCATGTGTCATATTTATAAGTTCTTCAGCTTCTACATTTCCCATACTATTCTTACCCTTCCCCTGTCTATTTCCTACCTACAATCTATGCTACTAATCTTCCGTACCTTTTCCCCCTCTCTCCTCCTCCCACCACCCTGTTGCTAACCCTCCATGTGATCTCCATTTCTGTGGTTCTGTTCCTGTTCTAGTTGTTTGCTTAGTTTCTTTTGGTTTTGCTTTAGGTGTGGTTGTTAATAATTGTGAGTTTGCTGTCCTTTTTCTATACATGTTTTTTTTTATCTTCTTTTCTCAGATAAGTCCCTTTAACATTTCGTAAAATAAGGGCTTGGTGATGATGAACTCCTTTAACTTGACCTTATCTGAGAAACACTTTATCTGCCCTTTCATTCTGAATGAAAGCTTTGCTGGATAGAGTAGTCTGGGATATTGATCCTTGTCTTTCATGACTTGGAATACTTCTTTCCAGCCCCTTCTTGCCTGTAAGGTCTCTTTTGAGAAATCAGCTGACAGTCTGATGGGAACTCCTTTGTAGGTGACTGTCCCCTTATCTCTTGCTGCTTCTAGGATTCTTTCCTTCATTTTTACCTTGGCTAATGTAATTATGATGTGCCTTGGTGTATTTCTTCCTGGGTCCAACTTCTTTGGGACTCTCTGAGCTTCCTGGACTTCCTGGAAGTCTATTTTCTTTGCCAGAATGGGGAAGTTCTCCTTTATTATTTGTTCAAATATGTTTTCAATCTGTTGCTCTTCCTCTTCTCCTTCTGGTACTCCTATAATTCGGATGCTGGAACGTTTAAAGATGTCCTGGAGGTTCCTAAGCTTCTCCTTGTTTTTTTGAATTCTTATTTCTCCATTCTTTCCTGTTTGGTTGTTTCTTTCTTCCTTCTGGTCCACTCTATTGTTTTGAGTCCCACTTTCCTTCCCATCACTATTGGTTCCCTGTGCATTTTCCTTCACTTTTTTATCATAACCTGCATTTGTTCATCTAATTTATGACCAAAATCAACCAATTCTGTGAGCTTCCTGATCACTAGTGTTTTGAACTGTGCATCTGATAGGTTGGCTATCTCTCGGTCACTTAAAAGGATGAGTTCTGGGGCATTGATTTGTTCTTCTGTTTGAGCCATCTCTCTCTCTCTCTCTCTCTCTCTCTCTTTTTTTTGGTCTGGTCACTCCTGTTACGGTGAGGGGTGGTGCCTTAGGTGTTCACCAGGGCTGGGCACTCCAGTTGCTAGATTGTGACATTGTATGTGGGGGCAGGGGCGGGAAGGAACAATGGCGGTAGCTCTGTTCTCCGTGGGACCTCAGTCCCTTCTCTGGGATCCTGGGTTGTGTGCTCTGCCCTGCTCCACAATCGCCGTCTCACTGGGTCTGCCAGCTGCCACTTGGGTACTCAGGGTCCACCTGCTGCGATCTTGCATGCCCCAGATGCCTTATGTGCTCCTGGTTGCCTTATGTGCCCAACTCTCTCTGCTCTCCACGCCTCGACCCACACCTGGCTGCTCATCTCCACCCCTCGTACCAGTCTGGATGAACGGGTCTATTTCAACTTCTTGGGTGTCCGACTTCCATTCAGATAAATTTTCTGTCAGTTCTGGATGTTATTCTGCATCTAAATTGTTATTGGTCCAATCTTGGTTGTGCGTGGAAGTACAGTGCATCCACCTATGCCTCCATCTTGGCCGGAAGTCAATTAAGTTTTTTTTAATGAACACTGATATGAGGGCTGTCACAAAGCAATCTAACAAAATTGTTGCAAGTGAGGTTAAAGACAACTAAGTGCTACTACAGCCATCTTATGGAAAAAAAAACAAATGAACTCTTTGGCCAACCCCATGTTTTTATTTTCTTTCAATCTAGGTTTTTCTCTAGTCCTTACAATTATGCAGAAACTTTTAAAGGACCATCTCTGTCATGTGAACTAAAGTACATCATGTTCACTTGGGGGCTGGGGGTGGAGAGCTGCCTTAAAGTAACACCTAGGCCCCAGGAGGAACAAATGTGGGGAGCCAGTTGCTACAGATCATATGCTAACAGTATGTCTAGATCACCCCATTTAATTCCCACAGAAAGACTACACAGTATCACCTCCATTTTTGTAAAATAACTGATGAAAAGAACTTAAGCACAAAGAGGTTAAATAATTATCCCAAGAGATGGAGCTGGGTTTGAACTGGAGTATGACTTCAGTGCTTGAACCCTTAGCTCACTCAGCTCCTTTCTGGCTGCCTAGGAGTTAACTAACCCAAGGAGTCGCTTTCTGCTTAATTCATCCCAGTAGCTCTCCAGAGATCACAAAGGAGCTATTTCTAGGATATTTTCATGGCTACTAGGATGGAGAGGTATCTTTTGCTTGGTGTCCCAGACTGTAAACTTGGACACCTAGGCTGGTCTATATCTGAAATGTCTATTTCCTTTGCTAACCTGTCTTTGGCCCAGAGGAAGGGAATCACTCCTCAGTATTCAATGAATTGTTCTCAGATTCCACATTTTCTCATGGTCTTCCTCCCTCCCTTTTTTTCCTCCCTCCCTCCCTCCCTTCCTTCCTTCCTTCCCTCACTTGTACCTTCATTTTCTGTTGTTCAGGTCCATGCCAGCTTCTAGGGAAGTCTGGGCTGGCTGTCTTAGACTTTCAGAGCTGCTAGGAACTGGGGTCAAAGAAATTTCACAACTGGGAAACCACCTCCTAGCTCAACAACCAGATGCTCTCAAGTGTTCCAGGCTAGAATAAGCCCACAGTTGCGGGGTAGGTGGGGAGGACCAGCTGATGTATCTATTTGGGTTAAGTCAAAGCCTTCCCAATTCCTCAGATATTTAATGGGAATTTTCCAATAAGACTAATATACAAAGCACGCCCCCCCCCCCAATGTTGTATGGCTCTCAATTTTTAAAAATATTCACTTCTTTTTTTTAGTTATTGCTTTTTATTTTTTTTAATTTTATTTATTTAAAGTGTTGTTAAAGTACAATTTTCTACCTTTTACTCCCAACCCAGCCCACCCACCCTGCCCTCCCCTCCTCCCTCCCATTTCCACCCACCCCTAGTTTTTTATCCATGTGTCCTTTATACCTGTTCCTGTAAACCCTTCCCCCTTTCCCCTGAAATTCCCTCCCCTCTTCCCTCTGGACACTGTCAGCCTGTTCTCTATTTCAGTGTCTTTGCTTACATTTTGCTTGTTTCTTTGTTTTGTTGTTTAGGTTCCTGTTAAAGGTGAGATCATGTGAATATTCACTTCTATAGACAAAAGGTCCGGGGTAAAATATTTACAGTGGTTATCTTGATTTTGTCTGATTTGCATTTTTATTTTTGCATATTCTAAATTTTTGATAATTTACATATATATTCTTTTTATAAGTAGAAAACTTAAAGTAGTTAAAGCCAATTGGTCAGATATCTAAAATAACCCATAGTCACCAGAAATGACTGTTTGCTAAAACTTATTTTCCTCATCATAAGAGTGCATGAAATGATTTTGAGTAACAATAAGGTAATAATAAACATAATGAAAGTACCTACATTATCTAGGCCTAAAAGGAAACCCCACAAAAATCAGCAAGCAACACTTAAGTACCACATTAGATGGTTCACAGGTATTAAAGCAGCACCCCTCACCCCCAAGACGCCGCGGGACCAGACAAGGGACTGACAGGCCTGCCCTGGGGGCCTGTGGCTGTCCAGGGTTGTGCACAGGCCCCTCCTCTGATACCTTTGTGGCAGAATGGTATCCAAATTGTATGTATCTTTCAATGGCCAAGGCTTTGCAAATTAGGGACAAAAGCTGAATTCAGAATTCAGAAT